CTTGGCGATGCGTGGGTTCTGGAGCATGGAGTCGCGGGCCACGCCAAGGCGCTCGTTCTCGCACCCGGGGGTGAGTTCGGCCAGGGTCATGGGCCTGCGGGGGGGCGGGCAGATCTGGCTGGCCGAGCGGCGTATGCGACGAGGCGGGCGCGGCATCTCCACTCGGGGCCACTCCTTCGGGACCCTCTCCACGGGGCCCTTCTTCTTCTCCATGGCGGGAGAGGAAAGGCGGGAAGAGAGGGAAGAGCGAAAGCAGGCTGGAAAGGAGGAAGGCCGGGCTTGACCGGGATGCTCCAGGCAAAGGATGCGGGCAGGAAGGCCGGCCGGTCCGTTGCCATGGAGACGCAGGACGCTGCTGAGCATCAACACAAGCGGTGCCTAGGAGAACAAACAGCCGTCGCCAAGGCAACCGTCACAACAGAGATGGAGACTGTAATAGCATTACGTTAGAATAGCATCAATTCTATCATATATATTCTATAGTTTAATATATATATATTATATATAGAATACTATATTAGATATATAATGCAGCATAGTATATATTACTATAGAATGTATAATAGCATAAAATAAATTGTATATATTATGTATTTTAGGCTCAATAGTTTCTTATATATACAGTATATAAAATACTATATTAGATATATAATGCAGAAGATCTACAACATTGGTCATAGAACTTCAATATGTCAATGATAATGTAATCTGTGCACATTCAGAAAAACTATAACATCAGTTATAGAGCTCTAGTAGGCTGATGGTAATGTATATATTTTAGATAATGTAAATATGTTCTATATTATACAATATATATATATATATATGTATTACATCAGTTATAGAACTCTAATATGCCCATGATAATGTAGTCTGTGCACATTCAGAAATAACATCAGTTATAGAGCTCCAGTATGCCGATGATAATGTAGTCTGTGCGCATTCAGAAGATCTACAATTATAGAACTCCAATATGCTGATGATACCGTAGTCTGTGCACATTCAGATCTGCAACATTAGTTATAGAACTCCAACATGCCAATGATAATGTAGTCTGTGCGCATTCAGAAAAAGATCTACAACATTGGTTATAGAACTCCAAAATGCCAATGATAATGTAGTCTGTGCACATTCAGAAGATCTACAACAGCAATTATAGACTTCCAATATGCTGATGATAACATAGTCTGTGCACGTTCAGAAGATCTACAACATCAATGTAGATCTTCTGAATGTAGTCTGTGCACATTCAGAAGATCTACAACATCAGTTATAGAACTCTAATATGCTGATGATAACATAGTCTGCACACATTCAGAAGATCTACAACATTGGTCATAGAACTCCAATATGTCAATGATAATGTAATCTGTGCACATTCAGAAAAACTATAACATCAGTTATAGAGCTCCAGTATGCTGATGATAATGTAGTCTGTGTGTATTCAGAGGAAGACCTACAAGCCACTCTAAACACCTTAGCAGAAGTATACGAGAAGCTGGGCCTCTCATTGAACATCGGCAAAACCAAAGTGCTCTTCCTGCAGTCACCAGCCAATCCCTCTCCAATGCTACAAATACAGCTTAATGGTTTAACTTTAGAAAATGGAGGGCAAAAGGAAGAAATGTGCCAAGAGGAAGAAAGTGCGTCAAGCCAACCCTTACTGGGACTACTAGACTTGGAAGACCATCATCCTCAGGCTACAAGGGATCACCTAAGTAATATATACAATATATGTTTGAAGGCTTTCATGGTTGGAATCACTGGGCTGTTGAAGGTTTTTCGGGCTGTCTGGCCATGTTCTAGAAGCATTCTCTCCTGACGTTTCGCCTGCATCTATGGACCTCACAACTTCTGAGGATGCTTGCCACAGATGCAGGCAAAATGTCAGGAGAGAATGCTTCTAGAACATGGCCAGACAGCCCGAAAAACCTACAACCCAAAATATACAATATATGTAAGATATATAAGAAATACACTGTCATATAAGGCAGTATGAACTTTATAATGCAGCTCAATGTAGTGAAACTGCATTATATGGAAGTGTAGATGTGGTCAATGTATATGTGTAATCTCAAAATGTATCTCAAAATGCCCATTAATGTCATTAATATCATCAGTGTTTATTTTGGCACGGTACTGAATAAACCACGGAGCCAAAAGTGAAAATTTGAAAATATATTTATTTATCTCAAACTATGTACAGCATTTACATTCAGGCCCTGAGGTCGTCTTAAAAAATAGCTCTGTGTATGTGTATCCTTATTTTTCAAACACTTGTAAACAGCAACGCGTTCATAGGTGCATCTCTTGAGATGACATTATCTCTCTCTATATATATATGAACACACAAACATATATGAATACATTTTATACATATATGTGTGTATATATATACACACACACACACATATATATTCACTTTAACAATATATTCACCCTTATTTTTCAGGCACTTGTAAAGGCAGCAATGGCTGAATCTCTTGGGATGGCTTCACACTCACTCACTCACACTCACACTTCATATATATGAATGAATATATATATATTGTGTGTGTTTATATATATAATAGTTCTCAGGTCATCCGGAAAGGTCATCCGGAGTTTTGGAGTTGGGTGCCATCTCTACGCAGATGACACGCAACTCTACTACTCTTTCCCACCAAACTCCAAGGAAGCCCCTCGGGTGCTGGACGAGTGCCTGGCCGCTGTGGCTGTCTGGATGAGGAGGAACAAGCTGAGGATCAATCCTGTCAAGACAGAGGTCCTCCTGGTCAATCGTAAGCCGGATCAGGGTATAGGGTGGTAACCTGTGCTGGACGGGGTTACACTCCCCCTGAAGTCACAGGTCCGCAGTTTGAGTGTCCTCCTGGACTCATCACTTACGCTTGAAGCTCAGGCGTCTGCGGTGGCTGGGAGGGCCTTCGCACAATTAAGATTCGTGTACCTCGTGAAGGCGGATCTGGCCAGGGTGGTCCATGCCTTAGTCACCTCCATATTGGACTACTGCAATGCACTTTACGTGGGGCTGTCCTTGAAAACGGCCCAGTAATTTCAATTGGTACAATGGGTGGCAGCCAGTTTACTAACTGGAGCGACTTACAGGGAGCGGTCAACCCCACTCTTTAAGGAGCTCCACTGGCTGTCGTTCATCTTCCGGTCCTAATTCAAGGTGCAGGTTTACCTACAAAGCCCTGAACGGTTTGGGACCCGCCTACCTGCGTGACCGCATTTCTGTGTACGAACCCACATGATCTCTTCGATCATCTGGAGAGGCCCTGCTCGTGCTCCCGCCTCCCTCGAAGGCGCAATTGGTGGGGACGAGGGAGAGGGCCTTCTCGGTGGTGGCCCCCCGACTCTGGAACTCACTTCCCAAGGACATCAGGCATGCCCCAACATTGGCAGTCTTTAGGAGGAGTCTGAAAACGTGGCTGTTCCAGTGTGCCTTCCCAGAATAAGGAAAATTCCCAGCAATATGTCCTCAGAATGTACTTTACTACTGGTTTAGGATGGACTGCGCTCCCTCATGTCTTTTAAAACCCTGAACATGAGGAAGAACTTCCAGACGGTGAGAGCCGTTCAGCAGTGGAACTCTCTGCCCCGGGGTGTGGTGGAGGCTCCTTCTTTGGAAGCTTTTAAACAGAGGCTGGATGGCCATCTGTCAGGGGTGATTTGAATGCAATATTCCTGCTTCTTGGCAGAGGGTTGGACTGGATGGCCCATGAGGTCTCTTCCAACTCTTTGATTCTATGATTCTATACCAGATATATTCTACCTTGTTCATAAAGGTAAAGGTAGTCCCCTGACATTAAGTCCAGTCATGTCTGACTCTGGGGTGTGGTGCTCATCTCCATTTCTAAGCCGAAGAGCCAGCGTTGTCCGTAGACACCTCCAAGGTCATGTGGCTGGCATGACTGCATGACCTTGTTCATGCCCAGCGTTTATTTTTAAATTTTTAAACTATTACATTTCGCCCAGCCATAGGTTTTTAAATCCTTGTGTGTTACTGTTTATTGGTTATTATTTATATATGATTTATATTAATTGTATTTATTGTTTTTGTTTATTGCCTTTTGTTTTTATTGATGTGTTGTTGGGCTTGGCCTGATGTAAGCCGCTCCGAGTCCCTTGGGGAGATGGTGGTGGGGTATAAATAAAGTTTTATTAATATTATTATTATTATTATTATTCTCTTTATCAACATTTATTCTGCTTGTAAAGGCAGAAATGGGGAGCTCATGGGTGTATCTCTTAGGATGATGGTGTGTGTTCGTGTGCATATACACACACACACAGACACAAATATAATTCACACACACACATATATGTGTGTGTGTGTAATAGTTCTCTTTACTGATATATTCATCCTTACTTCTCAAACGCTTGTAGAATTGTTCATGGGATGAAATATGTGTATATATAAATGATCATATATGTATGTGTGTGTGTGATTCCTGATGTAAACAAGGGTTCTTTCCCAATATTATGGAATGCCCGACGGATCCGAAGCCTTGCCCTGGGTCTCCGAATGGGCTTCTCTGGGTGGCTCTTCCTCTTCTTCAAAGATGCTTCCTTCCTCTTCCTCCTCTTCCACCTCTTCCTCTTCCGGGAAGATGTCGCTGAAGCGGAAGGTGCTCTTCCAGCTCCGCTCCTCCATTTCCGGAATGTTCTTCTTCCTTTCCAATTGGGCCTTGAGCTTCGGCAAAGTTTCTGTGTAAAGGTGGTCGATGGCCTCTGGGGAAATGCAAAAGACCCCATTTTATTTAATAATAATAATAATATTTGATTATAAATATTGTTATTATTATTATTATTTGTTTGTTTTATTATTACTGTTATTACATTATTATTATTTTACTGACACAAAAACATAGTATGTCACAGCAAACAAGATATATATGCTGGATTTCGTATCACAAAATCACAAGTTGAACACTTCCCAAAGCCTTTGACTCACTCTCACAGTTGGATCATCAAGTGCCTAGATGTCATTGGGATTTGTAAAAAAGTTGGCACTTTTATTGAAACTATGATGAAGCAATGGAAAACTGAACTGTTTGTTGGAAATGAAAACTACGGACTTGTCAATATCAGGAGAGGAATTTTCCAGGGAGACTCATTATCCCCACTGCTTTTCATCATTGCCATGATCCCTCTGTCAACAATCTTACAAGAAACAAACCTTGCCAATCAAACATCTAAGAAATCTCGCAAAATTTCACATCTGCTGTACATGGATGACCTGAAGCTGTATGGGAAAACTGAAACTGAAATCCAGTCTCTGACTAACACTGTCCTAATCGTTATTACATTATTATTATTATTATTATTATTATTATTATTATTATTATTATTATTATTTCATGGGGTTTTGGGGGTCTTTTTGCATCCTCTGCACTCACCGGAGAAGCCCTTCTGGGTCCAAAAAGGGACGTATAAGGTCCTGACCAGGTAGAAACGGCTTTTGGTGTAATCCGGAGGGACATTCCTGCAACCATGGAGATAAAGGAAATGAGGTCAGAGCAGGGGTCCTCAAACGAAGGCCCAAGGGCCGGATGCGGCCCTCCAAAGTCATTTACCCAGCCCTCGCTCAGGGTCAACCTAAGTCTGAAACGACTTGAAAGCACCCAACAACGACAACCATCTCATCAGCAACTACAACTCCCAAATGACAAAATCATTTTTTTGAGTGAAGGACATACATTGGGTTGTTAGGTGTCTTGTGTCCAAATTTGGTGTCAATTCGTCCAGTAGTTTTTGAGTTCTGTTAATCCCACAAACTAACATTACATTTTTCTTTATATAGATTACTACTACTACTACTACTAATAATAATAATAATAATAATAAACCATCCCACTAAACTGGACATAGGAGCATTATTATCATTATCATTAACCCACTAAACGACATGGAAGTGTTGTTGATATCATTGGAGTGTTGATGTTGTTGTTGTTGTCATCATCGTCCTTATTATATTAAACCACCCAATGAAACTGGACATGGGAGCATTATTATTATTATTATTATTATTAATCATAGAACTGTTAAAAGCAATAATAACAATAATAATAACAAAAACAACAATAATAAAAAATAACATAGCTGAGCAATGGTTTCTGGGGCTATTTTACCCAATGAGGTGGGAGAGGTCCTCCCAGTCGATGTCCTCAACATCCTCAACATTCAGGTCATATAATCTGAAACATAGAGAAGGGTCATTCATTGCGCTGCCTTGGGATGCGTCTACACAGCAGAATTATTATTATTATTATTATTATTATTTAAACTTATATGCCGCTACTCCCCTGGGGCTCGGAGCGGCTTACAAGAATGGCTAAAATCTAACAAAATTTAAAAGCAATTTAAAACAATTTAAAAACAACAGTATCAAACATTAAAAGCCTGTCGGAACAGGTATGTCTTACATGCCCTGCGGAAAGCTGGTAAGTCCCGCAGGGCACGAACTTCAGGTGGCAGAGCATTCCAGAGTGATGGCGCCACTGCTGTGAAGGCTCTGCGTCTGGTTGCCGTTAGACGCAAGGTCTTGACACTGGGGACTTCCAATAGATCTTGGTCCTCAGAACGGAGGGATCTCTGGGGTTGGTAGGGGGTGAGGCGGTCCCTCAGATACATTGGCCCCAGACCATGCAAGGCCTTAAAGGTGAGTACCATCACTTCGAAAGTGATCCGGTGCTCAATTGGTAACCAATGCAGCTGTAGTAAGATTGGTGTTATGTGGCATCTCATCGGAATTCCCGCAAGAAGCCGAGCAGCTGCGTTTTGTACCAACTTGAGCTTCCGAATCACCGACAGAGGGAGGCCAATGTAGAGGGCGTTACAGTAGTCCAGTCTTGAGATGACCGTGGCCTGGATCACCGTAGCTAGGTCATCCCTGGACAGAGAGGGGCCAGCCGTCTAGCCTGCCGCAGGTGAAAGAAGGCGGTTCTGCTCAGGGCAGAGACCTGGGCCTCCATTGTCAGCAGAGGGTCCAAAAGGACTCCCAGACTCTTGACCAATGATGACGGGCGTAACGCCTCGCCATCCAGGGTGGGGAGATGGATGTCCCCACTGCCCGATCCACCCAGCCATAGGATCTCCGTCTTTGCTGGATTCACCCTCAACCTGCTGGCACGCAGCCATCCAGTCACGGCCTCGAGGCACTGATGGAAACAATCGGGTGCAGAGTTCGGTCGGCCTTCCATCTTCAGCACTAGCTGAGTGTCATCGGCATACTGATAACACTCAAGCCCAAAACCTCGAACCAGCTGAGCAAGTGGTCGCATATAGATGTTAAACAACAGAGGGGAGAGAATGGCCCCCTGAGGAACCCCACAAGATAGAGGGGACCTCTCAGAGACCAGGCCTCCCCTCTCCACTCAGACTGGCCCCATTTTATCCCTCATACCTTTCGATGAGACTGGCCCCATTTTATCCCTCATACATTTTATCCCAGTCTCCATTTTATAATGCAGACTGGCCCCATTTTATCCCTCATACCTTTCGATGAGCTCGATCCTGAACTTGAGGCTCTCGAGGCCATGGTTCCGCAACTTCCCCCCAGACATCTTCTTGGTGATCAGGGACAGCCTTTGACAAAAGAGAGGAATGGGTTAGAGTGGATTATTATTATTATTATTATTATTTGCATCCGTTTTAAGGAACTATTTCTTAATAACATGAATATTTAATTCCTTTGTAATGTTTGTAAGAAGTTTGGGTTGGAAATGGCATGGAATGGGTTGTAATAATAATAGTAATAATAATAATAATAATACAGGTTGGCTCACCACTTGCAACAACAACAAGAACAACAAGAACAACAAGTGCAGGCTGACCTCTTGCTCTTGCAATAGTAATAATATAACCATAACAACAAAAAGTGCAGACCCACCACTCTTGCAATAGCAACAACAACAGCAAGGACAGGTTGACAACTTGCTCATGCAATAATAGTAATAATAACCATAACAGCAACAAAGGCAGACCCACCACTCTTGCAACAACAACAACGACAACAACAAGGGCAGGTGACTACTTGCTCCTGCAATAATAGTAATAATAACCATAGCAACAACAAGAGTAGATTCATCACTCTTGCAATAACAACAAGAAGGGCAGGCTGACCACTTGTTCTTGCAATAGTAATAATAACCATAACAACAACAAAGGCAGATCCACCACTCTTGCAATAACAACAACAACAAGGGCAGGCTGACCACTTGCTCCTGCAATAATAGTAATAATGACCACCACAACAAGGGCAGACCCACCCTCCTGCAATAACAACAACAAGGGCAGGCTGACAACGTGCTCTTGCAATAATAGTAATAATAACCACAACAGGAACAAAGGCAGAGCCACCACTCTTGCAACAACAACAACAATAAGGGCAGGCGACCACTTGCTCCTGCAATAATAGTATTAATTATTATTAGTATTAATTCTCTGTTCCAGCAGAGAAGAGCTCTTTGCCCCACCCCAGCCATTTCACAGATATATAAACCCATTGTCCTAATTCCAACAGACCTCACTACCTCTGAGGATGCTTGCCATAGATGCAAGAGAAACGTCAGGAGAAATGCCTCTAGAACATGGCCCTATAGCCCGAAAAAACCCACAAGAACCTAATAGTATTAATATCCATAACAGCAACAAAGGCAAACCCACCACTCTTGCAACAACAACAACAACAATAAGGGCAGGCAACCACTTGCTCCTGCAGTAATAGTATTAATACCCATAACAACACCAAGGCCAGACCCACCACTCTTGCAATAACAACAAAAACAAGGGCAGGCTGACCACTTGCTCGTGCAATAATAATAATAACCACAACAACAAGAGCAGACCCATCATTCCTGAAATAACAACAATAACAACAACAAGAGTAAAGTGAGGCTCACTACTTGTTCTTGCAAATAATAATAATAATAATAATAATAATAATAATAATAATAATAATATATAATAATATGCAGGCTGTACAAGGAAGCTGATGAAGCCATGGATCATATCCTCGGCTGTTGCAAGAAAATTGCACAGATGGACTACAAACAAAGGCACAACTCTGTGGCCCAGATGATTCACTGGAACTTATGTCACAAGGACCACCTGCCAGGTAAAGAATTGGTGGGATCATAAACCTGCAAATGTCGTGGAAAATGAACATGCAAAAATACTGTGGGACTTTCGAATCCAGACTAACAAAGTTTTGGAACACAATACACCAGACATCACGATTGTGGAAAAGAAAAGTTTGGATTATTGATGTTGCCATACCAGGTGACAGTCGCATTGAAGAAAAACAACAGGAAAAACTCAGCCGCTATCAAGACCTCAAAATCGAACTGCAAAGGCTCAGTACAGGTGGTCCCAGTGGTCATTGGCACACTGGGTGCTGTGCCAAAAGATCTCAACTGGCATTTGGAAACAATAAACATTAACAAAATCATCTGTCAACTGCAAAAGCCCACCTTACTTGGATCTGCGCTCATCATTCGAAAATACATCACGCAGTACTAGATGCTTGGGAAGTGTTCAACTTGTGATTTTTTGATACGAAATCCAGCATATATATCTCATTTGCTGTGACATACTGTGCTTTTGTGTCAGAATAATAATAATAATAATAATAATAATAATAATCAATAAGGGCGGCTGACAATTTGCTCTTGCAACAACAATAATAACAATAACAAGGGCAGGCTGACCACTTATTCTTTATAATAATAATAACTACAAGTTTGCAACAAGTTTAGTTGATTAGGTCACCTTGCTGGGTGAGCAAGTGCCACACTGAACCGATATGCAGTTCAGTTTTATAGTCAGAACTTTTGTGCAATACATAATGATAATACTAATACGAATAATGGGGACAGGCTGACCACTTTTCCTTGCACTGCTTCCACCACCGGCTGCCCATCTGCTCCTGCACCCGGAACCATGGGATACCCTTGTAGAGGTTTTCTCGGCGCAGCATCAAAGGGCCTTCTTTTTTGGCCGGGTCAGCTTTGGCCTCCAGGTAGCCCTTCACGATCCCGATCAGCTTCTGGGTTTCCTCTTTGGTCCAGGGGCCTGTATTGAACTCTGCAGGCAAGAAAGAACAACAAGCGGGTTGGATTGGATGGCCTTTGGGGGCCCCTCCCAACTCTAGGATTCTATGTGTCTATCATTATTATTATTTAGAGGCTGGGTGGCCATTTGTTGGGGGGAGTGTTAATGGTGTTTTTGCAAAGCAGTTGGACTGAATGACCTTTGGAATCTACAATTCTACTAAGAAGAAACTGGGCTGCTGTTGGAACGATTTTGGGTGATTTTAATGTATTTCTTTGAATAAATGGAAAGGCGATAGAAATAAATATAATAACAAAAGTAGTAATAGCAGTAATAATAATATCTGTATACATCTGTCTTATCTATTTATCTATATAGAATAATAGAATCACAGAATCAAAGAGTTGGAAGAGACCTCATGGGCCATCCAGTCCAACCCCTTTCTGCCAAGAAGCAGGAATATTGCATTCAAATCACCCCTGACAGATGGCCATCCAGCCTCTGTTTAAAAGCTTCCAAAGAAGGAGCCTCCACCACACTCCGGGGCAGAGAGTTCCACTGCTGAACGGCTCTCACAGTCAGGAAGTTCTTCCTCATGTTCAGATGGAATCTCTTGTAGTTTGAAGCCATTGTTCCGAGTCCTAGTCTCCAAGGAAGCAGAAAACAAGCTTGTTCCCTCCTCCCTGTGGCTTCCTCTTACATATTTATACATGGCTATCATATCTCCTCTCAGCCTTCTCTTCTTCAGGCTAAACATGCCCAGCTCCTTAAGCCGCTGCTCATTGGGCTTGTTCCTTTGATCATTTTAGTTGTCTTCCTCTGGACACATTCCAGCTTGTCAATATCTCTCTTGAACTGTGGTGCCCAGAATTGGACACAATATATGATGGAACAGTTGTGTGTTCAAAGATTGGATAGACATATAACAACAACAACAACAACAACCTCCGAGGATGCTTGCCATAGATGCAGGTGAAACGTCAGGAGAGAATGCTTCTTGAATATGGCCAGGCAGGTGAAACGTCAGGAGAGAATGCTTCTTGAATATGGCCAGGCAGCCCGAAAAACCTACAACAACCTGGGCAATGCTGGGAACCCAAACTAGAGTACAATAAGCAAAGCCAGGCTCCTTTTAATCCAAGATGGGGTCTTATAGCCCTACATTTTAATATAATAATAATAATAATAATAATAATAATAATAGATATAAATAAAATGTAATGTTTGCTTGTGGGATTAACATAACAAAAATACATTACAATGCAAGTGGAAAATCAGATATGTACACAATTGTATACAACATATGTGTACAATTGTATTAACACAATTGTACACAACATATGTACAAGTTTTGCACATATATACACAAATATACATACACAAAGATTTATATGCATATATACACACACAAAACATATATATATACAGACTGGGTATTCACACATATATACAGACAGGGCTACAGCAACACGTGGCAGGGGATGGCTAATCTATATAAATAAAAATGTAATGTTTGTTGTGGGATTAACATAACTCAAAAACCACTGGACGAATTGACACCAAATTTAGACACAAGACACCTATCAGGCCAACAAGTGACCATGACTTATAAAAACACTGAAAAACACAGCGGAAGGGATTTAAAAAACTAAAAATAATAAATACATTACAATGCTTGCGCAAAACCACATATATACACAAACATACATATACACATATACACAAATATATACACACACATATACATACACAAAACGCATATACATAGACTGGGCCACAGCAACGCATGGCAGGGGACAGCTACTACTACTACTACTAATAATAATAATAATGGTGATAATAATAATAATAATAATAATAATAATAATAATAATTGCCACCTGCCTGCGATCATGTCGTAATACTTCAACTCGAGCGAATGGCTGCTGCGCCCCATCAGCTCAGACATCTTCTTCCAGTTGTTGCCAAACTGGGCCTGGTATTTCTTGATTTGGTGCAGCTCCTCCGCGGAATACCTGGGGAGAGGCTTCATGTTTTAATGCATTTATACATTGCTTTCATTGGCACTGCGTTATATTCGATGTTCGCCACCTTGGGTCTCCATATTGGGAGAAAGGCAGGACGAGGGACGACTTCCAGTCCATTTGGACTAAAACAGTGGCAGTCAAGAAATAGTTTTCTAAGATTTACAGAGACACTCAGCAAGCAAGAGTCCAAAAGTGGCAGGCTAAAAACCCAGAACCTCAATCCATGGTTGATGCCCATCTGTCGGGGGTGCTTTGAATGTGATTTTCCTGCTTCTTGGCAGAATGGGGTTGGACTGAATGACCCACGAGGTCTCTTCCAACTCTAGGACTCTATAAGATCACAACACTAGGGTTTCCCCCCCCCCCCCCCCCCGTGTCAGGAGCGACTTGAGAAACTGCAAGTTGCTTCTGGTGTGAGAGAATTGGCAATGGGCCATTGGCCAGGGGATGCTGTCCGGATGTTTTGATGCTTGAACATCCTTGTGGGAGGCTTCTCTCATGTCCCTGCATGAGGAGCTGGAGCTGACAGAGGGAGCTCATCCGCACTCTCCCTGGATTCAGTCCTGCCAGCACACTGCGCTGTTAATAATAATGATAATAGTGAACATGATAGTAATGATAATGTTAACAGGGAATGACATTGATAACCCAGGAACTAAAATAGTGCTACGTAGTGTTGATATATGTATATGTGTGTGTGTGTGATAATATTTATTTATTTATCGTGTCAGGAGCAACCAGACAGTTGTATTACATTTTTAACAAAACAAACAAACAAACCGACAAAACACAAAGTTTGCAAGCTTGGTAGTTGAGTGTGTAATAATATAAATAATATATTAAATATATATTTATTATTATATTGCTATTATTGTAATTTTTGTTGGAGCATGTAAGGAATCAGTGAGTGTGTGAGATCGCTGAGCCTGGTAGTCTTGGATACTGTTACATTGTTGTTCAGGCTTGAGTTATGCAGTAAAGGGAGCTCATACGAACCCTCCCCAGATTCAAACCTCTGACATGTTGGTCTTCGGTCCTGCCGGCACAAGGGTTTAACCCACTGTGCCACCAGGTTAATAATAATGATAATAGTGATCATGATATAGTATTGATAATGAGAACAGGGAATGACGTTGATAATCCGGGAACGAAAATAGTGCTATGTAGTGTTGAGATATATATATCTATATCTGGGAAGCCCTGGCTCTTGAGCACTCCAGTTGGAGGTCAGCTCTGACCAGCTGTGCTGCAGAATTTGAAGAGGCACGAAGAGAGGGTGAAAGAGAGAAACGTGCCAAGAGGAAGACGCATCAAGCCTCTGTGTGTCTGTCTATATATGTTGTGTGTCTGTGGCACTGAATGTTTGCCATGTATATATGCATTGTGATCCACTTGAAGCCCCTGCGGGGTGAGAAGGGAAGAATATAAATACTGTAAATAAATAAATAAATATTACCCATCTCTCCTTGCAGCTCAAGACCAAAGTTTCACAATAATTGTAATAATAATAACACTTTTATTACTCGTTTGCAGGTTAAAATTTCCTGATCAAATGCAACTTTCATAATAACAATAGTAACCTTTTATTATTGTTGTCTTACCTTCCCACGTAATTCTGAGGGTCAAACATCTTCCTCGCTCGGTAATAGACGAGCCTCCAGGGCCGAGGAATGCCTTGTGCTGAAAGAGACATATTATTTATATATATCTATATAAATAAAAATGCAATGTTCGTTTGTGGGGTTAACATAACTCAAAAACCACTGGATGAATTGACACCAAATTTGGACACAACACACCTATCAGGCCAACGAGTGACCGTCACTCATTAAAACACTGAAAAACACAGCAGAAGGGACTTAAAAAGCCAAAAAAACCATTACAAAGAATGCGCAAAACCATTTATATACACATATATACAAATATATGCACACACATATATATACACACAAAACAAATATAGACAGACTGGGCCACAGCAATGGAGTTCTCTGTGCCAAGTTGGTTGAATCCCATCATTGGATTCTTTGATTGTCGGTGAACTATAAATCCCAGCAACTACAAATCCCAAATGACAAAAGCTTTTTTTTTTTTTTGTCATTTGCATTAGTAGGTGTCTTATGGCCAAATTTGGTGGCAATTCGTCTAGCTGATTTTGAGTTATGATGTCACTCAAAACAGAGCATTTATATATATATAGATTATTATATTTGTCTACTAGCCGTCCCCTGCCATCGGTTGCTGTGGCCCAGTCTGTGTATATGTGTTTTGTGTGTGTATATATTTGTGCATATGTGTATATATGTGTGTTTGTGCAAATATATATATATATATATATGTATATGTATATAATAAAAGTCAGTGTTTGTATGCGGAGGGAGGGCGTTGTATGTGGCAGCTTTCTGATTGGCTGCCACTTTTACAGGCCACTGTGACCAGCACGGGGGACGGATTGGGACCAAACTTGGCACACATAACTCCCATGACCCCCTTTATGTTCTGGTGAGGTTTGGGGGAGGACGGACAATTGATGATGGGATCTGTAGTACTTTCCAACCCTTCTGTTCCCACAGACCACTTCGGCCCCCAGCAAAGACTGATGAAGACCAAACTTGGCACACAGAGCCCCCATGACCCAGACTACATCCTACTGCAGTTTAGAGGAAGGCGGACCATGGATGATGGGACTTGAAGTATCTCCACTCACTTCCCGAGATTGTTGCGACCGTCATCCAATGATTGATCAAGACCAAACTTGGCACACAGAGCCCCCATGAGCCACTCTACATCCTGGTGCAGTTTCGAGGACAAATGGACTATGGAACTCGCAGTACCTTCACTAACTTCCTGAGACCACTGCGAGCCACATAAATAACTGATAAAGACCAACCTTGGCGCACAATGCCTTTATCAAATAACCCAGCAGCGCTGGGTCCCCAAGCTAGTATATTTATATATGTGTGCGTGTCTGTGGTTTTGCGCATGCATTGTAATGCATTTTTATTTTTTGGCTTTTTAAGTCTCTTCCTCTGTGCTTTTCAGTGTTTTTAGAGTGATGGTCACTCGTTGGCCTAAGAGGTGTCTTGTGTACAAATTTGGTGTCAATTTGTCCAGTGGTTTTTGAGTTACGTTAATCCCACAAACTAACATTACATTTTTATTTATATAGATTACAAGGTCAGGTGCTGCCCTCAAGTCGCCACAAAGAGTAACTGCAGGCAGCAATGGAAAGGCAAAAAACAAAAATAATACCTATCATAAAATCATCATAAAATTATTATTTTAGTTCTTACCCACCTCTTAATTATTATAATTATAATTAATGTTATTTTATTTCTTACCTGCCTCTTAATTATTATTATTATTGTGGTGGCCATAAGGAGAAAAATAAAATAATTATAATTTAAAATAAAAATAATGAGTAGTAAGGCTTACCTGTCCGTTCTTGAGGGTGGGAAGTAGAGATTTTGGTAGAAGAGAAATTTAACAGATGACTTAGAAACCTTTTTAGGCTGACTCTATCTTAAGTCAATATTTGAAGGAGCCAAGGCTAAAGGCTGAAGGCTGAGGTAGGAAACTTGGCTCTTGAGTTAAATCGATATTATTGATTTGAACACTAACATCTAAAGGTCATGTAATAGTAGCGCCACCTCCTGTCTGGTTGATGAAAATAGCAGGCAATTTAATACACCTTTTTAATGATCAACTGAGGAAAATAATGTATTGTGAAAGTAATTGCAGAAGAATTAATAAGGAAAATGCTTGCTTTGAATAAATTAAATATACATATATGAAGGCATAGGTATAAAAAGAAATATATGAAGTTACGATTCATTCTAAAGATTACGTAAGTCATCTGGAAACGTGGCTGGTCAGCTGATGAAAGGGGAGCAGTGGAAATTATAGTATCTTGCCAACAATTGTTCTTGGCCTCGGTTCCTCGAGGACAAATTGATATTGATTAGATTGTGTAAATGTCAAGACTCTTATGCGCATGTGTAAACCTGAGAATTTATGCTATAAATGCTGGAGCAAATCTGACTTCCAATGTGTGTCAGATATTGTTTTCTGAACACCCTATCAAGCTTGATAGAATTAAAAAGCCTGGAATCAGTTGCTGTCTCCTTTCTCTTCCTTCCTGATTGTGCTCGTCTGATCTCGGGTAACGAATCTTCTGCAACATTATTAATGTTATTATTATGTTTTTATCTGCCTCTTACTTATTTTTATCTCGAGTTCTATTAGATTGTGCATTAGATTTAGTGGCGAATGAGAGTTGAGTCAAGATGGTAATAATCCTAAGCATCGTCATGGGGACAAACGTGCTGGAAGAAGCAAAGACCACCAGCACTGAAGCGATGGTCCTCCGCCACCAACTCCGCTGGACCGGCCAGATTGTCTGGATACTTGACCACCGTCTCCCAAAGCAGTTGCTCTACTCCGAACTCAAGAACGGAAAACGGAATGTTGGTGGGCAGGAAAAGAGATTTAAAGATGGGCTCAAAGCCAACCTTAAAAACTGTGGCATATGCATAGAGAACTGGGAAGCCCTGGCCCTTGAGCGCTCCAGCTGGAGGTCAGCTGTGACCAGCAGTGCTGCAGAATTTGAAGAGGCACGAATGGAGGGCGAAAGGGAGAAGCGTGCCAAGAGGAAGGCGCGTCAAGCCAACCCCGACCGAGACCGCCTTCCACCTGGAAACCGATGCCCTCACTGCGGAAGAAGATGCAGAGCAAGAATAGGGCTCCACAGCCACATACGGACCCACAAAAATATTGGAAGACAATCCTCCTCGGAAAACGAGGGATCACCTAAGTAAGTAGTAAGTACTGATTGCGGGTTTGGAAACCGATGGTAAGCTCACCGATCTTGAGTCCGAACAAATGCCGTGCCTTGAGCTTCTTGAGGGCGTCCTTCTCTTCGGGGAAGCGGTGGGTGAAGAGCAGCTTCTCAGCGGAGTCGATGCCGCTCTCCTCCAGAAAGGCCTCCACGTTCCGGCGCAGCAGTGCATTCTCCCCCCGGGAAAACTTCCCAAACTTCAACGCAATCCCTGCGACAGGGAAAGAAGGCTGATTGGTTTCCCCACACGTTTCAGCCCCAAATATCCCACAGGGACCTCGACAAAGACACTCTGGGGCCAACGTTTACCTTGCTTCTTGAAGTTCCTGAAGCGGAGGAGATCCCTGCGTGCCAGTTGGCGGATGAACTCTTCGGGGCGCCGCCGGATGTCCGGAATGAACTCCTCCAGCTCCCGAGTGAGGCTCTCCAGGTCCGGCGATACAACGTCCGGAGAATCAAAGAACTCGTTGTCCAGCTCCAGAGGCTCCGAGGACGGAGGAAGAGGGCCTTGTTTACCTAGAGATGCACTGAAACAGGGCAGACAGAAGAGAGGGACACAAGGCATTAGACACAATTTGTGCTCCTGCACTAAACTCAGCCAACATTGGATCTAGACCAAACTTGGCACACAGACCCAACATGACATACATACTGGCATACTGGCAGGGTTTGTGGTTGACTGCCCTTTGTGATTGTGCTTCAGGATCAGGGTGCTTTGGATGTGGGGAGTGATGTTAATGAGTTTCAAGATGAGTTTCAAGATGGCAATGGTTTGGCCAGGGATATTGATGCAGAGAATGACAAGGAGATCCCTGTTCAAAGTGTAGTTTCCCATGAGAATGTCCCTGAGGGGTGTGGGGATGATGGTGTGCTCTCTGAATTGTTACCAGAGAGTTCCCATGACAGGGAACATGAAAACAGCTCAGTATCTGGCCCAGCTGCAGAAATTAATGAGCAAATAGATAGACGGGAAGAGATCAGTCAAAACAGGAGTGCCGAATAGTGGCTTTGGTGATCTGCTAGACTCCGAGAGAAAAAGATAAGAAAGTCTCAGCTAAAGCAAAACAAACAAGGCCTTTTTCAAACAACCCGGGCATTGCAGGGTACCCAAGCTACTAGTAAACATAATAACAATAATCTGAGAAAATATAATAATAATTAAATAATAAGATTAGTAATAATAATAATAATAATAATCTAAGAAAATATACAGTTCCCTCGCTACTTCGCGGTTCGCTTTTCATGGACTCGCTGTTTTGCGGGGTTTTGCCTCCTGGCAACGATGGAGTGTGGAAGGGGGTTTCAATCATAAAAGAGAGAGAGAGAGGAGATACAAAGCAGTATGCAAATCAGGGCCTTATTTATTTATTTATTTACGACATTTATATGCCGCCCTTCTCACCGCAGAGTGGCTTAAAAGATATATATATATATATGTACAATATATATATTATAGTATTAGTATAGTACTAGAGAAGGCAAAATGGTTGTCTGCTGAGACACTGGAAGTAGCCCAAGAAAGGAGGAAAGCAAAAGGAAACAGGGATAAGGGGAGATATGCCCAGTTAAATGCGCAATTCCAGAGGTTAGCCAGAAGAGATAAGGAACTATTTTTAAACAAGCAATGCATGGAAGTGGAAGAAGACAACAGAATAGGAAGGACAAGAGACCTCTTCCAGAAAATTAGAAACATTGGAGGTAAATTTCAGGCAAAAATTGGTATGATAAGAAACAAAGATGGCAGAGACCTAACAGAAGCTGAAGAGATCAAGAGAAGGTGGCGAGACTATACAGAAGATCTGTATAGGAAGGATAATAATATTGAGGATAGTTTTGACGGTGTGGTGAATGAATTAGACCCAGACATCCTGAGGAGTGAGGTTGAATGGGCCTTAAGAAGCATTGCTAACAACAAGGCAGCAGGAGACGACGGGATCCCAGCTGAACTGTTTAAAATCTTAAAAGATCATGCTGTCAAGGTGATGCATGCCATATGCCAGCAAATATGGAAAACACAAGAATGGCCATCAGACTGGAAAAAATCCACTTCTATCCCCATACCAAAAAAGGGAAATGCGAAAGACTGCTCAAACTTCCGTACAGTGGCCCTTATTTCTCATGCCAGTAAGGTAATGCTCAAGATCCTGCAAGGAAGACTCCAGCAATACATGGAGCGAGAGTTGCCAGATGTAAGCTGGGTTTAGAAAAGGCAGAGGAACGAGAGACCAGATTGCCAATATCCGCTGGATAATGGAGAAAGGCAGGGAGTTTCAGAAAAACATCTACTTCTGCTTCATTGACTATTCTAAAGCCTTTGACTGTGTGGATCATCATAAATTGTGGCAAGTTCTTAGTGGGATGGGCATCCCAAGCCACCTTGTCTCTCTCCTGAGGAATCTGTACAAGGACCAAGTAGCAACAGTAAGAACTGACCACGGAACAACAGACTGGTTCAAGATTGGGAAAGGCGTACGGCAGGGTTGTATACTCTCACCCAACCTATTCAACTTGTATGCAGAACACATCATGCGATGTGCGGGGCTTGATGAATGCAAGGCTGGGGTGAAAATTGCTGGAAGAAACATTAACAACCTCAGATATGCAGATGACACCACTCTGATGGCCGAAAGCGAGGAGGAGCTGAGGAGCCTTCTAATCAAGGTGAAAGAAGAAAGCGCAAAAGCCAGGTTGCAGCAAAACATCAAAAAAACCAAGATTATGGCAACAAGAATGATTGACAACTGGAAAATAGAGGGAGAAACCGTGGAGGCCGTGACAGACTTTGTATTTCTACGTGCAAAGATTACTGCAGATGCAGACTGTGGCCAGGAAATCAGAAGACGCTTACTTCTTGGGAGGAGAGCAATGTCCAATCTCGATAAAATAGTGAAGAGTAGAGACATCACACTGGCAACAAAGATCCGCCTAGTCAAAGCCATGGTATTCCCTGTAGTAACCTACGGATGTGAGAGCTGGACCTTAGGGAAGGCTGAGCGAAGGAAGATCGATGCTTTTGAGCTGTGGTGTTGGAGGAAAGTGCTGAGAGTGCCTTGGACTGCGAGAAGATCCAACCAGTCCATCCTCCAGGAAATAAAGCCCGACTGCTCACTGGAGGAAAAGATACTAGAGACAAAGTTGAAGTACTTTGGCCACATCATGAGGAGACAGGAAAGCCTAGAGAAGACAATTATGCTGGGGAAAGTGGAAGGCAAAAGGAAGAGGGGCCGACCAAGGGCAAGATGGATGGATGGCATCCTTGAAGTGACTGGACTGACCTTGAGGGAGCTGGGGGTGGTAACGGCCGACAGGGAGCTCTGGCGTAGGCTGGTCCATGAGGTCACGACGAGTCGGAGACGACTGAACGAATGAACAACAACTAGTACAATATCAGTATTATATATTACTATATTGTACTATACCATTATATTGCAATATTATTAGTAACATTGCATGTAATATAAAATATTTAATTATAATATCATATTATTTTTATTATTATAATGAATTACATTATAATATTATACATATATGTATATACATTATATTATATTATATTATATTATGCCCCCTTCCTTATAGCTAGCAAAAAAAAAGGTATGCAGTGCCTTTAAATCCCTCCTCGCTTCTGACTCACCCTCGGATTGCGTCCCTACTTTGCAGATTTTCACTTTTCGCGGGTGGTCCTGGAACGGTTCACCCGCGATAAGTGAGGGAACACTGTAATAAGTGCCCAATATTGGAACACAAGTTGGAGGTTGCCTAGAAAAAAAGCATTATCTGAACGGTTTCAAAGGTGTGAAATACTGCAAAGATGAAAATGCGCGAGGATCGAAGACTTACGCAGGATGTCGCTCGGACTGGTCCTGTTCTCCATCTTTAGCCATTTCTGGGTTGTCGTTAAATGCATTGGGGGAAGAAGATCGATGCTTTTTATGCTTCTTAAGCTTTTTGTGGGGTTTCCTTGGTGCAGAAAGCGTGGTTTCCGCCCCATTCTGCAAAACGTCTTCAATGTCTGAAGGTATAACAAGTTCCTTTGCATCCTTTGCAAAGCCAACCTTGTCTATGGAAAGGCCTTCGCCGTCTTCTAATGATTCTTTTGCTGCTTTCTTTTTCTTCTTCTTGGGACGAACTTCACAATTCGCATCTTCCAAATGATCCAAGATTTCTTCTGGTGTTTCCGGGACTATATGCTCAATGTCTTGTTCCTTTGATCGGTGCGTCTTCTTTTTCTTTCTCTTGGGATGTATTCCCATTTCGCTCTCTAAGTCGCTTTCTTTGACGACCCATTGGGAGTCCTTCTTCCTCTTGGATGTCTGATCATTCTCTGCATCTTCAGCAGGATTCACCCAACGCTCTTCTGCTTCTTCCTCTCCATTCAATTCCTCCAATTTCCTTTTCTTCTTCTTCTTCTTCTTTGGGGAAATGAAGAACGGAAGGCTGTCTGCGCACAAATCCTCTGCTCCGTCGCTCATTGCTTCTTAAAAAGGAAACAAGAGGTTCAGTCTCACACAGGTAATGTTAGCTTGACGTTAGGAGAGACTTTCTAAGGATTTGATAACCCAATCCCTGGAAATCAATTGATTTTTTTTTTATATATATATATATATATATATATATATATAGAGAGAGAGAGAGAGAGAGAGAGAGAGAGAGAGAGAGAGAGTGTCCCCATGGGAGGAAAGGTGGGGTATAAACAAAGTTAAGAATAATAATGATAATATAAGGCAATGTATTTCATAATATGGAATATATATGTAAGATATTATGTAAGATATAAAATACCATAAACAATACATTGCATACTATACATATATCACAATACATAGTACAAACATTTTGTATATTTATTTATTTATTTACATTATTTCTATCCTGCCCATTTCAACCCGAAGGCGACTCAGGGCGGTTGTCTCTCTCTCTATCTATGTTTCTCTCTCCCTCTCTCTATGTCTCTCTCTCTCTATATATATATCTATATCTATGTCTCTCTCTCTCTCTATATATCTCTATATCTATGTCTCTCTCTATATATATATCTATATCTATGTCTCTCTCTCTCTATCTGTCTCTCTCTCTATATATATATCTATATCTCTCTATCTGTCTCTCTCTATATATATATATATATCTCTATATCTATGTCTCTCTCTGTCTCTCTCTCTCTCTCTGTCTATATATCTATCTATCTATCTCTATATCTATGTCTCTCTCTATCTGTCTCTCTCTCTATCACTCTGTCTCTCTCTCTCTATGTCTCTCTCTATCTGTCTCTCTCTCTCTATATAACTCTCTCTCTATGTCTCTCTCTATCTCTCTCTCTATGTCTCTCTCTCTTTCTCTCTCTGTCTCTATCTATCTATGTCTCTCTCTCTATCTCTCTATCACTCTCTCTATGTGTCTCTCTCTCTCTCTATATATATATCTATATCTCTCTCTATCTGTCTCTCTCTCTATATATATATCTATATCTATCTGTCTCTCTCTCTATGTCTCTCTCTCTCTCTATATATATATATCTATCTCTATATCTATGTCTCTCTCTCTCTGTCTCTCTCTATCACTCTATGTCTCTCTCTCTCTATCTCTCTCTCTATATATATCTATCTCTATATCTATGTCTCTATCTCTATCTCTCTATCACTCTCTCTCTCTATATATATATAACTCTATATCTATGTCTCTCTCTATCTCTCTATGTCTCTCTCTGTCTCTATCTATCTGTCTCTCTCTCTATCTCTCTATCACTCTCTCTATCTCTCTATCACTCTCTCTATCTGCCTCTCTCTCTCTATATATATCTCTATCTCTCTATCACTCTCTCTATGTCTGTCTCTCTCTCTCTCTCTGTATCTATCTAATTCTCTCTCTCTCTCTCTCTATCCCTCTCTCCATCTCCCTCTCTCTCTCTCCATCTCACCACCGAAGTCTCCCGCTTCCTCTCAGCCTCCTTTGAGAAACGCCTTCCAACGTCACTTCCGCTTCCGGCGCAAATTTCCTCAAGTGAGGCGGGCCGCCATCTTGGGAGAGGCGGAGAGGCAAGGCGGACTGCGCAGGCGCGCCGGGATCGCCAGAGTCGGAAGTGCCGGTTTCTTCGCGAGCGGTTTCTTCCCTGAGGGAAGGAGGAGGAGGAAGAGGAGGAGGAGGAGAGGCCGGAGAGGAAATTCATGGCCGGAGGAGGGAGGCCGAAGACCCCGGGAGGAGGAGGCGGCGGCGGAGGAGAAGGAGGTGAGCGGGGCCTCACGGCGAGGAAGGAAGGCCGCGGCCTAGGGACAGCCCTTCCGGAGGCATTAAAGGGCCTCCGACTCAAATGGGCCTCCCTTTTAAAGGCGCAGGCTGGAAGGGAAAGGCAAGGAAGGGAAAGGGAAAAATCCTCAGGAGCATAATCTATCTATATAAATAAAAATGTAATGTTAGTTCGTGCTACCATCAGAACTCAAAAACCACTGGGGGAATTGACACCACATTTGGACACAAGACACCTAACAGTCCAATGTATGTCCTCCACTCAAAAACATTGATTTGTCATTTGGGATTTATAGTTTACCTACAATCAAAGAGCATTCTGAACTCCACCAATGATGGAATTGGGCCAAACTTAGCACACAGGGCTCCCATGACCAACAGAAAAAACTGGAAGGGTTTGGTGGACATTGACCTTGAGTTTGGGAATTATAGTTCACCCACATCCAGAGAGCACTGTGGACTCAAACAATGACGGATCTGGACCAAACTTGGCACGTATATTCCATATGCCCAAATATGAACACAGATGGAGTTTGGAAGAAATAGACCTTGACATTTGGGATTTGTACTTACTGGGATTTATAGTTCACCTACAATCAAAGAGCCTTCTGAACTCCACCAATGATGGAATTCAACCAGACATGGCATACAGGGCTCCCATGACCAACAGAACACACTAGAAGGGTTTGGTGGGCATTGACTTTGAGTTTGGGAGTTGTAGTTCACCTACATCCAGAGAGCACTGTGGACTCAAACAATGATGGATCTGGATCAAACTTGACACAAAAATTCCATATGCCTAAATATAAACACAGATGGAGTTTGGAGGAAATAGACCTTGACATTTGGGATTTGTACTTACTGGGATTTATAGTTCACTACAATTAAAGAGCATTCTGAAACCCACAAACGACAGAAATGGGGCAAACGTCCCACACAGAACCCCCATGACCAACAGAAAATACTTAAGGCCATCCAGTCCAACTCTCTTCACCAGGGCAAGAAAATGGAATCAAAGCCCTCCTGACAAAGGGCCATCCAGTCATAAACATAGATAGATAGATATGATTCTCTCTCTCACACACAGATATAGTATCATGGATTTGAAAGAGACCCTTAAAGAACGACTATGATATGTTCCAGAGGAGGCAAACCAGACACAACAAGAAATACTGTTTTACCCACACGCATCAAGACATTACATATATTAGAAACCAACACTTCCTAATTCCTTTATTTTCCAGATCACCACACTGGGCCACAGCAACACGTGGCAGGGGACAGCTAGTTATATCATCTATTCTCTGCCTCAGAGTCTGGTGGAAGCGCCTTCCTTGGAGACTTTTCAATAGAGGCTGGGCGGCCATCTGTCAGGGAGACTTTGATTGTGCTTTCCCTGCAGGGCAGAATGGGGTTGGACTAGATGGCCCACGTGGTCTCTTCCAACTCCATTAATCTATGATTCTAATTATCTAAGGAAGTGTTTCTCAACCTGTGGGTCCCCAGTTGTTTTGGCTTTCAACTCTCAGAAATCCCAACAGCTGGTAAAGTGGCTGGGGTTTCTGAGAGTTGTAGGCCCAAAACACCTGGGGACCTCAGGTTGAGAACCACTGGTCTAAGGCCTCTAGAGCAGTGGGTTGTTGTAGGGTTTTCGGGCTATATGGCCATGGTCTAGAGGCATTCTCTCCTGACGTTTCGCCTGCATCTATGGCAAGCATTCTCAGAGGTAGTGAGGTCTGTTGGAAGTAGGAAAAAGGTTTCCTATTATTAGAATAGATATTATTAATATATTTCCATATTATAATATCAGATTCTTCTCACTTCCTCAGCCCATAGTTCTTAACTTTAAGTCGCTGCAGGTCGGGTGTCTGTAACTTGGGAACAGCCTGTATACATACATGTCAGGACTCGGTTTCCTGGCCTTGGAAGGTGGCGCAAAAAACCGGATTCCTGACATGGAGAACCGATAAGGAATTGCAGCTGGTGGCCTTGGGAAGGGCAGTTAGTGGTTTGGCGGGGAATATTGAGCGGGATCCTGGGTCGGCGGGAAGAGGGGATTCGAATGTGGGGAGGGTATATAAAGGGCTGACGTGCGTCTGTATGCCAATCCTGGCTTTCATTGTGTATATGTATCCAGCAGTAAAAGGTTCCTGATTGATTACGGACTGGTCTCTTGTGTCTTTTCGGGGAACGGCTGTTGTGAGCTTACATTAAGCCAGGATTCACGGTGCCATCCCACGGCTGTGGTGAGGTACCCATATGCAACGAGAGGAAGACCCAACGGAGGGAGGGGAACCTGGCTCCCCTTTCGAGAATGCGGAAGAGGAGCTGGAGAGAGTGAATGCCTTGGCTTCATCGACCGCATATGCCCAGCCCAACGGAATCACGCAGAGGCGAGTGAAGGGGGCAGAGGCAGCGGCGAGAGAAAGCAGTGGACTGGACTTCCCCTCCCCGCAGAGGATGGACTATTTGGAGGAGAAGTTGGCATCCATGGAGACCACCCTCGCGATGATGTCGAGGGTGATGGAGCGGCTGGCCCCATTGCTAGAGGAGCCACAACCCCGAGGGGACTCGAAATGGAGCACGGAGGAGAGGGACCACCCTCGCGATGATGTCGAGAGTAATGGAGCGGCTGGCCCCATTGCTAGAGGAGCCACAACCCCGAGGGGACTCGATATGGAGCACGGAGGAGAGGAGTGATCGGAGAACCGGGGCACGTCCTAAAACGCAGACGAGTTGGAGGGCCCCTGCGGAGAGCGACGAGGAGGAGAGACAACCCCGGGGATTGGCGCCCCAGCAGACGTTCCTGGTGCCCCCGGCCGGAGCCGGGCGTGGCACAGGGCGTCAAGAATTGCCCCCGGAGCAGCATGGGCTCCAGGGAGGGCCACCCCGGGCGGAGAATCCGGAGAGGCAGCCCTTTCTCTACCAACCAAGGAGGGAGGAGCTGAGGATCGAATTCGGAGGAGAAGCCGAGAGCCTTGCATACTTCCTGACAATGGTGAGAGGATATCTAGAAGATAACGCACTTACCTTCGGATCGGAGGCGAGCCGGGTGCGGGCAGTGGGCGCAGCGCTGAGAGGGGGAGCAGCGGAGTGGTACGTCCAGCTCCATGCCAGGCACGACCCATGTTTAGGATCTACGAGGCGGTTCCTTGCTGCAATGGAGGCACGCTTCAGGGATCCGCTCGAGAGGATCTGAGCGAGGGACAGACTACGAACAATAACACAAGGCCATCACTCTGTCTCTGAATACGTAGAGGAATTCCGATTGAGAGCGGAAAAGGTGCCGGAGTGGTCTAACACCACCAAGGTCCAAATATTCAAAGAGGGCCTGCGGAAGGAAATCTTGACCTGGGCGCTTCATCGTGACGATCCGGAGGAGATAGGCGGATGGATCGAGCTCGCCGGCCGCATCGAGACGACGTTGGCACAGGTCAAGAGACATCAAGGAGCAGCGCCGCAGCAGACAAGAGCCAAGGAGGAGAATCGGAGAGCGGAGAGAGGCGCAATCGGGAAGATGATAATATGATACTAATGATATATAATAATATAACATATCTAATATAATTATAATGTTAAAAAGGTAAAGGTAAAGGTAGTCCCCTGACATTAAGTCCAGTCATGTCTGACTCTGGGGTGTGGTGCTCATCTCCATTTCTAAGCCGAAGAGCCAGCGTTGTCCGTAGACACCCCCAAGGTCATGTGGCCGGCATGACTGCATGGAGCGCCATTACCTTCCCACCGGAGTGGTACCTATCGATCTACTCACATTTGCATGTTTATATATATAATGAAGCCCCTGGTGGCACAGTGGGTTAAAGCGCTGAACTGCTGAGTTTGTTGACCGAAAGTTCGCAGGTTCTATTCCAGGGAGCGGTGTGAGCTTCCACTATCAGACCTAGCTTCTGCCAACCTAGCAGTTCGAAAACATGCAAATGTGAGTAGATCAATAGGTACCGCTCCAGCGGGAAGGTAACGGCGCTCCATGCAGTCATGCCAGTGGCCACATAACCTTGGAGGTGTCTATCGACAACGCCGGCTCTTCGGCTTAGAAATGGAGATGAGCACCAACCTCCAGAGTCAGACACGACTGGAATTAATGTCAGGGGATAACCTTTGCCTTATAATAATATAATTAATAATACAAATACTATTTATATTTAAGATAAGATTCCTCTTACTTCTTGTGGTCTCAATCCCATTGTTCTTAACTGCAAGTCATTGCAAGTTGGGTGTCTGTAACTCAGGGATGGCCAGTTGTAGGGATTTCCCCTTGACTTAGCATTCGTTGAGTCCTGCGAATGCTTGTGTTTCTCTCCCTGCAGAATGAGTACCTGCTGCTGGTGCACCCCGGGGGGCGCTAGGGCCGTGCAGCTCCTACGGAGCTACGCCTCGGCCTCCTCGGACTTTGCAGCTGCCAACGATGACCTCTGCTATTGCCTGGAGTGCGTGGACGAGTATCACAAGGCCCGGGAAGAGCTCCCTGACTTGCATGAGGTTGGTAGCACCTTGCTTGTGAAGCTGCTTTGCAAATGTATATCAAGCCTGTACAACTTGTTGGTCGCAAGGGGCTGAAATTACGCTATTTACTTGAATCCAGTGCTCACCTTTTGGGGCTATATTAGCTTCCCAAAATGAGGGTGCACATTGCATTTGTGTGATATAGTAATCTCAGTGTTGAGCCAAAGCCAAAGGGGAGGCTGCTTCAGGAACTGTACCTCGAGCTCCTCTTTGAGGTCCCCACCTCTCATTTAATGGCTATGGGATACTGGGATTTGTAGTTTGGTGAGGCACCTGCCTCCTTTGGCAGAGAAGCTCAAGACCTGGCCAAACTAAAGCCTGCATGACTCCATAGCATCGAGCCAAGGCAGTTAAAGTGCATTCATTCGCCATCATAGATGCAGCCTTTCTAAGGCTTGGGCTCAGAGTCTTAGCAGGCCACACCAGAGCTTTTTGAGGGCTGTATCTGGCCCATGGGCTGCATTTAGCGGAGGCCTACTATACATCCTAGGGTGGCTGTGGACTGCTTGTCTTTTGTTCTAGCCTTCAGCTGAGCTGCTTTCCTCTGCAGGCCTTGTGGGAGCTGGAGACGGGCCGGCTGGTTGCCCACTTCGAGGCATCTCTGAAGGATGAGGGGAACGACGATGACCTCTTCCTGGTGGAGGAGGACCGGGAGACCCCCTTGTGCGGATACTCTGTGGCCGGATTCGAGAAGCACCTCCGGGTGCCGCTGCTGGAGATACTCAAGTATCCCTACCTGCTTCTCCATGAGCGTGTCAGTGAGTATTGGTGCCCAGGATCTCACTCTAGGATAGTGGTCCTCATACTTCCTAATGCCCACGACCACTTAATATAGTTCCTGATGTGGTGACCCCAACCATAACATTATTTTCGTTGTATTGTCGAAGGCTTTCATGGTTGGAATCACTGGGTTGTTGTAGGTTTTATTGGGCTATATGGCCATGTTCTAGAGGCATTAGCCTAAAGAAGAGAAGGCTGAGAGGAGATATGATAGCCATGTATAAATATGTGAGAGGAAGCCACAGGGAGGAGGGAGCAAGCTTGTTTTCTGCTTCCTTGGAGACTAGGATGTGGAACAATGGCTTCAAACTACAAGAGAGGAGATTCCATCTGAACATGAGGAAGAACTTCCTGACTGTGAGAGCCGTTCAGCAGTGGAACTCTCTGCCCCGGAGTGTGGTGGAGGCTCCTTCTTTGGAAGCTTTTAAGCAGAGGCTTGATGGCCATTTGTCAGGGGTGATTTGAATGCAATATTCCTGCTTCTTGGCAGGGGGTTGGACTGGATGGCCCATGAGGTCTCTTCCAACTCTTTGATTCTATGATTCTGTGATTCTCTCCTGACGTTTCGCCTGCATCTATGGCAAGCAGCCTCAGAGGTAGTGAGTCAAGATTATTTATTATTGAATTTTGTTGTTGTTGTTACATTTATTTATTTATTTATTGTGTCAGGAGCAACCAGACATTTGTATTACATTTTTAACAAAACAAACATACAGACAAAACACAAAGTTTGCAAGCTTGGTAGTTGATTAAACCAGTATCTGGCCACTTGGAGTGCCTCTGGTGTTGCCGCAAGAAGGTCCTCCATCGTGCATGTAGCAGGGCTCAGGTTGCATTGCAGCAGGTGGTCCGTGGTTTGCTCTTCTCTGCACTCACATGTCATGGATTCCACTTTGTGGCCCTATTTCTTAAGGTTGGTGCCAGAGCACAGTCTGTTCAGCGCCTCCCAAGTCGCCCAGTCCTCTGTGTGCCCAGGGGGGAGTCTCTCATTTGGTATCAGCTATTGATTGAGGTTCTGGGTTTGAGCCTGCCACTTTTGGACTCTCGCTTGCTGGGCTGTTCCAGCGAGTGTCTCTGTAGATCTTAGAAAACTATTTCTTGATTTAAGTCGTTGACGTGCTGGCTGGTACCCAAACAAGGGATGAGCTGGAGATGTCTCTGCCTTGGTCCTTTCACTATTGGCTGCTACTTCCCAGCGGATGTCAGGTGGTGCAATACCGACTAGACAGTGTAGTTTCTCCAGTGGTGTAGGGCGCAGACACCCCGTAATAATGCGGCATGTCTCATTAAGAGCCACATCCACTGTTTTAGTGTGTTGAGATGTGTTCCACACTGGGCATGCATACTCAGCAGCAAAGTAGCATAACGCAAGGGAAGATGTCTTCACTGTGTCTGGTTGTGATCCCCAGGTTGTGCCAGTCAGCTTTCGTATGATATTGTTTCTAGCACTCACTTTTTTCTTGATATTTAGGCAGTGCTTCTTGTAGGTAAGAGCACGGTCCAGAGTGACTCCTAGGTGTTTGCGTGTGCTGCAAGGTGCCAGTGGGATTCCTTCTCAGGTAATCCTCAGAGCTCGGGATGCTTGTCTGTTCTTGAGGTGAAAGCACATGTCTGTGTTTTAGATGGATTAGGGATCAGCTGGTTTTCCCTGTAATAGGCAGTAAGAGCACCTAGAGCTTCGGAGAGCTTCTGTTCAACTATCTCAAAGCTCCCTGCTTGAGCGGTAATGGCATGATCATCAGCATAGATGAAGCTCTCTGTCCCTTCTGGCAGTGGCTGGTCATTTGTGTAGATGTTGAACATAGATGGGGCAAGCACGCTCCCCTGAGGCAGGCCATTCTTCTGTTTTTGCCATCTGCTTCTCTGGCCCTGAAACTCAACAAAGAAGCTCCTGTTTTGTAGCAGGTTTCCTATGAGGCGGGTGAGGTGGTCGTCCTTTGTGATATTATACATTTTTCTCAGGAGGCAGTGGTTTACAGTTTATAATTACATTTATAATTTTATTATTATTACATTTATTATTTTACAGTTATTGCTATTATTATTACATTTATTATTTTACTCTCATTATTATTGGAAGGATACATAAGCACATTTATATTAAAGAAGGTTAGAATAATGGTTTAATCAGAGTTGGGCAGTCTTATCTTAAATTAAATATTCAAAAACATTTAACCTTCTGATGCCTCAATTAATGTAATTGTATTGGTATCTGTTTATATTTTAAAATTGACCAGTAACTGCTGCATTTCCCACCCCTCGACTTATACTCGAGTTAATCAATTTTCCCAATTTTTGTGGTAAAATTAGGTGCCTTGGCTTATATTCGGGTCGGCTTATACTCGAGTATATATGGTAATTCCTTTTGCATGGTTCATTAATAACACTATGTAACAAAATTTGAAAAATGTTCTGTTCCTGTTTCGAAAGTGTTCCTATTTAATTATGTGGTCCTTGCTTTGAAAGTTGGTGTCTTATTTCAGAAACTTTAGTTGCTTTGGTGGTACAAACTAGGTTGAATTGGTTGAGACTATTATCAGGTATTTATTGGGAAATGGTTGCAAAATCTCCTAAAGCTGGATGTCCCTCCCGCAGAAACAAAGTTTTGGCCGTTTAATGCACTTTTTCCATCAATGTTTTGATTGATTTATTTATCGTATCAGGAGCGAACCAAAAAGTTGTATTGTATTTAAAATCAAAACAAACAAACAAAAATTGTGACAGAACCAATTAGGAAATGACATGTATAATCCAGGGACAAAAATCACAATGACGGTTTGGAGTGTTTTCTCCTTGAACGGCAGGCGAACTCTGCGTCGAGGCCCTTTGCAAAATGGAGCAGATCAACTTCTCCTATCAGGTGGTGGGCAAACACCCTGGGATCTACCTGCTCATGGTGCACCCCAATGAAATGGTGAGTGAGGCCCAGGTGCTGTTCACAATGAGGAAGCCCAGGCAGGCTTCCTGCCCTAGGCCTCGCAAGCCCCGTTTTGTGCCCACAGGTCCGTCGCTGGGCCATCCTGACGGCCAGGAGCCTGGGGAAGGTGGACCGGGATGACTACTACGACATCCAGGAGGTGCTGACCTGCCTCTTCAAGGTCATCGAGCTGGGCCTCTTTGAGGACCCCAACCTCTACCACTCCATCCTTGTCGAGAAGGGCCAGCTCATCCTCCTGCCCCCCCACCTCTACGACACCTCCAACTACAAGAACTATTGGCTGGGTGAGTGGAGCAGGCCCAACAGAGCCTGCCTCTTCCTTCCTCTCCTTCCTCTCCTTCCTTCCTTCCTTCCTTCCTTCCTTCCTTCCTTCCTTCCTTCCTTCCTTCCTTCCTTCCTGTCTTTCTTTCTTTCTCTCCTCTCCTCTCCTCTCCTCTCCTCTCCTCTCCTCTCCTCTCCTCTCCTCTCCTCTCCTCTCCTCTCCTCTCCTCTCCTCTCCTCTCCCCCTCTTCTTCCTTCCTTCCTCCAGCCCGTCCTCCCTCCTTCATTTCCTCTCCATGCTTTCTTCCTCTTCTTCCCTCCCCCTTCTCTCCTCTTCTCTTCCTTCCTCTCCTGTCTTCCTTCCCTCCATTCATATCCTCTCTTCCTCTCTTTCCTTCTTCCTTCCTGTCTTCCTTTCTTTCCTTCCTCTCCTTCCTCCTTCATTCCTGTCATTCTTTTCTTCCTTCCTTCCTTCCTTCCTTCCTTCCTTCCTTCCTTCCTTCCTTCCTTTAATTTCTCCTTTCTTCCTTGGATTATTAGGAATTGATGTATTAGGAATTGCACTTAACTGGTTATTAGGAATTGCACTGAATTGGAATATTAGGAATTATTAGGAATTGTCTTATTAGGAATTGCACTGAATTGGTTTATTTGGAATTGCACTGAATTGTCTTATTAGGAATTGCACTGAATTGGATTATTAGGAATTGCACTGAATTGGTTTATTTGGAATTGAACTGAACTGTCTTATTAGGAATTGAACTGAATTGGATTATTAGGAATTGTTTTATTAGGAATTGCACTGAATTGCTTTATTTGGAATTTCACTGAATTGGATTATTAGGAATTGTCTTATTAGAAATTTCACTGAATTGGTTTATTTGGAATTGCACTGAATTGTCTTATTAGGAATTTCACTGAATTGGATTATTAGGAATGTCACTGAATTGGTTTATTTGGAATTGTACTGAATTGGTTTATTTGGAATTGCACTGAATTAGATTAGAATCATAGAATCATAGAATCAAAGAGTTGGAAGAGACCTCCTGGGCCATCCAGTCCAACCCCATTCTGCCAAGAAGCAGGAATATTTCATTCAAATCACCCCTGACAGATGGCCATCCAGCCTCTGTTTAAAAGCTTCCAAAGAAGGAGCCTCCACCACACTCCGGGGCAGAGAGTTCCACTGCTGAACGGCTCTCACAGTCACGAAGTTCTTCCTCATGTTCAGATGGAATCTCCTCTCTTGTAGTTTGAAGCCATTGTTTCGCGTCCTAGTCTCCAAGGAAGCAGAAAACAAGCTTGCTCCCTCCTCCCTGTGGCTTCCTCTCACATATTTATACATGGCTATCATATCTCCTCTCAGCCTTCTCTTCTTCAGGCTAAACATGCCCAGTTCCCTAAGCCGTTCCTCATAGGGCTTGTTCTCCAGACCCTTGATCATTTTAGTCGCCCTCCTCTGGACACATTCCAACTTGTCAATATCTCTCTTGAATTGTGGTGCCCAGAATTGGACACAATATTCCAGATGTGGTCTAACCAAAGCAGAATAGAGGGATAGCATTACTTCCTTAGATCTAGACACTATGCTCCTATTGATGCAGGCCAAAATCCCATTGGCTTTTTTTTGCCGCCACATCATATTGTTGGCTCATGTTTAACTTGTTGTCCACGAGGACTCCAAGATCTTTTTCACACGTACTGCTCTCGAGCCAGGCGTCACCCATTCTGTATCTTTGCATTTCATTTTTTTCTGCCAAAGTGGAGTATCTTGCATTTGTCACTGTTGAACTTCATTTTGTTAGTTTTGGCCCATCTCTCTAATCTGTCAAGATCGTTTTGAATTCTGCTCCTGTCCTCTGGACTATTGGCTATCCCTCCCAATTTGGTGTTGTCTGCAAACTTGATGATCCTGCCTTCTAGCCCTTCATCTAAGTCATTAATAAAGATGTTGAACAGGACCGGGCCCAGGACGGAACCCTGCGGCACTCCACTTGTCACTTCTTTCCAAGATGAAGAGGAAGCATTAGTGAGCACTCTCTGTGTTCGTCCACTTAACCAATTACAGATCCACCTCACCGTAGTTTTGCCTAGCCCACATTGGACTAGTTTCCTTGCCAGAAGGTCATGGGGGACCTTGTCGAAGGCCTTACTGAAATCCAGGTACGCTACATCCACGGCATTCCCCGCATCTATCCAGCTTGTAGCTCTATCGAAGAAAGAGATCAGATTAGTCTGGCATGACTTGTTTTTGATAAATCCATGTTGACTATTAGCGATGACTGCATTTGTTTCTAAGTGTTTGCAGACCGCTTCCTTAACAATCTTTTTCAGAATCTTGCCCGGTATCGACGTGAGGCTGACCGGACGGTAGTTGTTTGGGTCATCCTTTTTTCCCTTCTTGAAGATTGGGACCACATTGGCCCTCCTCCAATCTGCTGGAACTTCTCCCGTTCTCCAAGAACTCTCAAAGATGGTTGCCAATGGTTCCGAAATGACTTCCGCTAGTTCCTTCAATACTCTGGGGTGTAGTTGATCTGGCCCTGGGGACTTGAACTCATTAAGAGCGGCCAGGTATTCCTGGATGACTTCTTTCCCAATTTGGGGTTGGATGTCCTCCAATCCCTCATCCACTCCATCTTGCTGAGGTTGAAGACTCTCTTTTTGTGAGAAGACCGAGGCAAAGAAGGCATTAAGTAGTTCTGCCTTTTCCCTATCCCCTGTCAGCATTGCCCCATCTTCTCCTCGAAGAGGTCCTATCCGCCTCCTTGTTTTTCCTTTTTCTACTGACATAAGAATAGAAGCCCTTTTTATTGTTTTTAATGTCCCTGGCAAGTCTGAGCTCGTTTTTTGCTTTAGCCTTGCGGACCTTTTCCCTACAGGTGTTGGCTATTTGTTTGAATTCTTCTTTGGTGTTTTCTCCCTTTTTCCACTTCTTGTGCATGTCTCTTTTGTGTCTTAGCACAGTTAGAAGTTCTTTGGACATCCATTCTGGCTTCTTTGCACTTGTCCTATTTTTCTCTTTGTTGGCACGGTTTGCAATTGCGCCTTGAGTATTTCACTCTTGAGAAATTCCCATCCATCCGTAACTCCCTTGTCTTTTAGTATCTGTGTCCACGGAATGCTGCTCAGCGTTTCCTTCATTTTTTGGAAATCCGCTCTCCTAAAGAATGCCTGCCCTCACGTTTTTTTTTTTTTTTCCCCTTTCCATTTTTTTTTTGAAATCAAAAAAAAAAAAACTCTCTAAACCCCACCCAAATTGCCGGGTTTTGACTTTGTCCCTTTAGTTTTTTTTTTTTCGGCCTTTCCCTTTGTACAACTCCAAATTGGCAGGCACAGGTTCCACTTGCCCCTATGGTGGAAAAAATCTTAACCACTTTCGACTGTCACTCGATCGGTACCCCTCCGCAACTTTTTGGTTTTAGGAATGAGGATCAAGAGTAGCCCCCCAATTCCCCCTTGTTGTTTGCCCCCTCTTCTACCTTCCTGGACCCCATGAAAATTGTCCCCCCCCCCCCCTGGGCAACGGCAAACGAGAATTTTGGTTTGGACCTTTGGTACTCTTTGGCCGAGTTTGTTTTTTCCCAGCAAATAATCGGGAATAGTTTTAAAAATCGCCCCATGGACTACTACATCTCTTCCTCTGGGTGCCCTGTTTTTGGTCAACTGTTGGCAGAAGACTTCATCAAGTTCTTCCTCCTGGCTTGGGGGTCTGTAGTAGACGCCTACAACGATTATTAGGAGTTGTTTTATTAGGAATTGCACTGAATGGCTTTATTTGGAATTTCACTGAATTGAATTATTAGGAATTGTCTTATTAGGAATTTAACTGAATTGTTTTATTTGGAATTGCACTGAATTGTTTTATTAGGAATTTCACTGAATTGGATTATTAGGAATGTCACTGAATTGGTTTATTAGGAATTGCACTGAATTGGTTTATTTGGAATTGCACTGAATTGGATTATTAGGAATTGTTTTATTAGGAATTGCACTTAATGGCTTTATTTGAAGTTTCACTGACTTGAATTATTAGGAATTGTCTTATTAGGAATTTAACTGAATTGGATTATTAGGAATTGCACTGAATTGGATTACTAGGAATTGTTTTATCAGGAAATGCACTGAATTGAATTATTAGGAATTGCACTGAATTGGTTTATTTGGAATTGCACTGAATTGGATTGTTAGGAATTGTTTTATTAGGAATTTCACTGAATTGGTTTATTTGGAATTGCACTGAATTGTTTTATTAGGAATTTCACTGAATTGGATTATTTGGAATTGCACTGAATTGTCTTATTAGGAATTGCACTGAATTGAATTATTAGGAATTGTTTTATTAGGAATTTCACTGAATTGGTTTATTTGGAATTGCACTGAATTGTTTTATTAGGAATTTCACTGAACTGGATTATTTGGAATTGCACTGAATTGGATTACTAGGAATTGTTTTATCAGGAAATGCACTGAATTGAATTTATTTATTTATTTATTTGACTTGTATCCCGCCACTCCCAATTTGGCTCAGAGCGGTTTACAACAGTAGATTAAAACAATACAACCAACTTTAAAATACAATAAAAACGAGAACAGACATAGTTGGGGACTTCAAGCAAATTTTGGTCCTCGGACCGAAGTAATCTCTGGGATTGGTAGGGGGATAAGCGGGCCCTCAGGTACGCCGGCCCCAGACCATATAAGGCCTTAAAGGTTAGTACCAGCACCTTGAAAGTGATCCAGTACTCAATTGGAAGCCAGTGCAGCTGCTGGAGAATTGGGGTGATATGACACCTTGCCAGCACCCCGTCGAGAAGACGAGCCACCACATTTTGCACCAGCTTCAATTTCCGGGTCACTCACAAAGGAAGGCCAATGTAGAGGGCGTTACAGTAGTCAAGCCTCGAGATGACCGTCACCTGGATCACCATAGCCAGGTCGTTCCTAGATAAGAAGGGAGCCAGTCGCCAGTCCAATTCAGTGCAATTCAGGAATTGCACTGAATTGGATTATTAGGAATTGTTTTATCAGGAATTGCACTGAATTGAATTACTAGGAATTGCACTGAATTTGATTATTAGGAATTATTAGGGATTGTTTTATTAGAAATTGCACTGAATTGGTGTCAGGATGTGGCCTTCAAGTTAAGTCAACAAAGCTGGAGCCTCCTTTCCTTGAAGACTCCTTCCTGACATCGAAGTGAAATATAGTTTGATAAGGGGGGCATCTGGCAGAAGGGAATGCTTTGTTCCTGGGAGACTGGAATGTAGTCACAACTTGAGAGAAGGGGGGAGGAAGGAGGGGGAAACAGGAGGGATGTATTGCTAGCTGTTGGCGGGAAGACTTTTAGATCTTTCTTCCTACTCATCCTGTTCAGACTGAAAAATAAACCCGTGTTCAAGAAGTTACTCTTGTGAGCGTGGTTTTGTTCTGAGATCTGGCGGGAGCTGATAATTGGATTATTAGGAATTATCTTATTAGGAATTACACTGAATTGACTGCTTATTAGGAGTCGCACTGAATGGGTTTATGATTTGCCTGTTTCTCCTCGCAGGCATTTGCATGTTGCTGACGGTCCTGGAAGAGCAAGCGATGGACTCCTTGCTTTTGGGGCCTGACAAGCAGAACGATTTCATGCAGAGCATCATGAACGTCATGGAGAAGGAGACCAACGGTAACGAAGGGACAGAAACCCCATTGAACAATAGGCTGAGATCATCCCCGGATCTATGATTTGGTAGAAAGGAGGGTCATGGGGGAAGCAACCCGTGCCCTAGAACCCCAGACCACCTTGTGTAACACAATTCGATCCTTCCTGACAGATGGACACCCATCCATAGGGAGATGGTCACAATTAGGATGAGAAAGGACAGATGGATACATAGATATGATTGAGAGAGAAAGAGAGAGATGATAGGATCCTAGAGTTGAGAGGGAGCTCCAAAGGCCATCCAGTCCTACCCCCTTCCTGCCCTAAAGGGAGACACAATCAAAGCTCTCCCAACAGATGACCATCCAGCCATAGGTAGATTGGTATAGATATGATTGAGTGAGAAAGATGATAGGATCCTAGAGTTGGAAGGGTTCCCCAAGGGCCACCCAATCCAACCCATTCCTGCCATAAAGAGGGACTCAATCAAAGCCTTCCCGACAGATAGCCATTCAGTCTCTACTTAAATATTTTGAAAGATGGAGAGTCTATCAATTCCATATTGGAAAATTATAGAATGCTAGAGTTGGAAGGGTTCCCCAGAGACCATCCAATCCAACCCCCTTTTGCCGTAAAGGGAGACACAACGCTCTCCCGCCAGATGGCCATCCAGCCACAGGTTCATGGGGAAATAGGGCTGTAGAATCATAGATTCCTACAGTAGGAAAGGACCACAATTCGATCCCTCCTGACAGAATGGACACCCAGCCATAGGGAGATGGTCGCAGTTAGGATGAGAAAGGACAGATGGATACATAGATATGATTGAGAGAGAAAGAGAGAGATGATAGGATCCTAGAGTTGAGAGGGAGCTCCAAAGGCCATCCAGTCCTACCCCCTTCCTGCCCTAAAGGGAGACACAATCAAAGCCCTCCCAACAGATGACCATCCAGCCATAGGTAGATTGGTATAGATATGATTGAGTGAGAAAGATGATAGGATCCTAGAGTTGGAAGGGTTCCCCAAGGGCCACCCAATCCAACCCATTCCTGTCATAAAGAGGGACTCAATCAAAGTCTTCCTGACAGATAGCCATTCAGTCTCTACTTAAATATTTTGAAAGATGGAGACTCCATCAATTCCACATTGGAAAATTAAAGAATGCTAGAGTTGGAAGGGTTCCCCAGAGACCATCCAATCCAACCCCCTTTTGCCATAAAGGGAGACACAAAGCTCTCGCGCCAGATGGCCATCCAGCCTCATAGACACGAGCAGGTTCATGGGGAAATAGGGCTGTAGAATCATAGAATCCTACAGTAGGAAAGGACCACCAAAGGGCATCCAGCCATAGACAGATTGCCATGGATATGCTAGATATGATTGAGAGATAGGATTCTAGAATTCGAAGGGACACCAAAGAGGGCCTTCCAGTCCAACCCCTTCCGGGCATCAAGGAAAAGCACCCTCAAAGCCTTCCTAGCGGATGGCCATCCAGCCACAGAGATGTTAGTGGTTTCATGGAGAAATAGAGCTAGAGAAGCCAACGCTCCTCCATATCTCCTATGTTTATATCTATGGCTATCATAGTATCCTAGGGTTGGAAGGGACCCCAAAGCCCATCCAGTCCAACTCCTTTCTGCCATAAGGAGGGCAACGTCAGATCCCTTTTGATTGATAGCCATCCAGCTTCTCCAGAGAAGGAGATGTTGGGCGAGTGGGCTTCTTAACACAACACCCTCCCCATAAATGTACAGCCTAGTAACTTAGCAGCAGCAGCATGACCCAGCACCAGTAGCCCAGAGTGATAAAAAGAACAGAAACGCAGAAACCAATGTTATCTCTTTCATAGGAGGTTTTTCTTTGTAGTAAAATAATATGGTTGCACTATTCACAAGAACAAGCTTTCCGTAACACAAAGTTCAACCTTCGCGCATGAGGCCTTCTCATACTGAGGCCTACTAACACTGAGGGCTCTTTCAGACTGAGGCGAACTAACACTGAGACCTCACTCACACTGAGGCCTTTCTCCAGCTGAGGCCTTCTCACACAGAGACCTTCTCAGACTGAGGTTTATCTCACACTAAGGCGAACTAACACTGGGACCTTTCTCCCACTGAGGCCTTCTCACACAGACACCTTCTCAGACTGAGATTTATCTCACACTGAAGCGAACTAACACTGTGATCTTTCTCCCACTGAGGCCTCCTCACACAGGGACCCTCTCAGACTGAGGTTTCTCTCACACTGAGGCGAACAAACACTGAGACCTTTCTCCCACTGAGGCCTTTCTCCCACTGAGGCCTCCTCACACAGAGACCTTCTCAGACTGAGGTTTCTCTCACACTGAGGCGAACTAACACTGAGGCCTTCTCTCACTGAGAATGACTAACACTGAGACCTCTCGCAGACTGACAGCTACTAAGCTACATAAATATATTGCTTATATAGAGCTGCAGCTTTTGCTGAGTCATTGCCTCCATTTAACCCTTTCAGTTTTTGTTATTAAAAATACCTAGTTAATTTTTAATATATCTTATTTAGTAAATATATTTACTGAATATATTTATTTAGTAAATATATTTACTATATAATAATAATAATAATTATTATTATGATTATTGTTATTGAATCCTAGAGTTGGAAGAGGTCCCCCCCCCCCCCCCAAGGACCGTCGAGTCCAATCCCCTTCTTGTAGGCAGGAAAAGCACAATCCGATCCCTCCCAAGAGATGGCCATCCACCCTCATAGACATTAGCAGGTTCATTGAGAAATACAACTATAGAAGCAAAAGTTGGAAGGGACCTCCAAGGACCATCCAGTCCAGCCCCCTTCTGCCATCAAGGGGAAAGCACCATCCGATCCCTCCCAGCAGATGGCCATCCAGCCTGACCCTATCTCTTTTCCAGATGATGGCAGCAACGACCCTTTCTGGCCCGCGCTCCACTGTTTCATGGTGATCTTGGACAAGCTGGGCTCTAAAGTCTGGGGGCAGCTCATCGACCCCATCCAGGCCTTCCAGACCATCATCAACAATGCCAGTTACAAGAAGGAGATCGAGAGCATCCGCCAGAGCTGCCGAACCAGGTTGGTCCTTAGCTCCCCCTTTTGTGTGATCTGTCTTGGAAGAAAATAGGGCAAAATAGAGCAGTGCAAAGTGACTGAGGCCAAGTGAAGCTGGATCGGTGAATTAATGCATTTCCCCCTAAGGCATTAAATGCGAAAACTCCTGGATTATTTAAACAGAGCACATTTTGCGTTGTTCCTGTTGTTATTTTTGCTCAGAGTTCTTGTTGTCTTCAAGCTGCATTAAGTCTCTTTTTTAGAGAAAGTTGGATATCTCTATATAATAAAAGGGATAATAATAATAATAATAATAATAATAATAATAATAATAATAATTTTATTATCCGTCTCTCCTTGTGGCTCAAGGTCAAAGTTTCACAACAATAGTAGTAGTCATAATAATAATATAATAATTTTACAACCTGTCTTTTCTTGCAGCTTGAGGCCAAAGTTTCACAATAGTAGTAGTAGTAGTAGTAATAATAGTTTTATTACCCGTTTCTCCTTGTGGCCCAAGTTTCATGATACTACTACTACTGCTACTACTACTACTAATAATAATAATAATTTACTAGCCATCTGTTCTTGCTGCTTGAGGCCAGTTTCATGTTTGTTTGTCGTGTCAGGAGCGCCATGAGAAACTGCAAGTCGCTTCTGGTGTGAGAGAATTGGCCGTCTGCAAGGACGTTGCCCAAGGGACGCCCGGATGATTTTGATGTTTTATCATCCTTGTGGGAGGCTTCTCTTGCATGAAGAGCTGGAGCTGATAGAGGGAGCTCATCCGCCTCTCCCCGGATTCGAACCTGCGACCTGTCGGTCTTCAGTCCTGCCGGCACAGGGGTTTAACCTACTGCGCCACCAGGGGCTCCTAGTTTCATGGTGATGGTGATAACAACAACAACAACAACATTCAATAAATATGTCTTGTGTTTTATTTATTGAATGTTGTTGTTGTTGTTGTTGGATACACACAGTTAAAAATGCAGGTTATAATTCCCTGATAAAATTCAAGTTTAATAACTGGTAGAGTTGGGGAGACAAGAGGATGGTGGGAGTTGTAGTTTACCCACCTCCTCCTGCATTTTCCAATGGGACCCTTCCTAACATCCCCAAACAATGACTTTTTGTAATGTTTATCCTTACCAAAACCCCTAAACTGGGCATCGCTGTGTAACTAAGCTAGTAAATAATAATAATAATAATAATAATAATAATAATAATAATAATAATATCCTTTTGAAGGACCAAATCGGAGCCGCCATCGGATTACGGTGATGAAATGGTGACCTGCAGCCAGATTGTGTATAATTTCCACCCAGAAAGGCCCAGCAAAGTAAGTTCCAGAAAGTGTGGTTATATCATGCTATCTAGAGAAAATAAGCAGTCGAAAAGAGTGTGAGGTTCGCAGACTAGTTGCTGTAGTTACATGTATGTTGTATGTACGCCTTACTGCAGGTATGAATTACATTCGTGTTTCCTTGACGTCGTTCTGTTGTATGTTTTACTGGCTAGTTCACTGCTTCGTTTTAGAGAGATATATTGTTAAAAAATTGCTTTTGAATAAAAGTTTTATTGGGAGGGCTTTGATGGTGTCCTTCCCTTATTGCAGAAGGGGGTTGGATGATGATGATGATGATTATTATTATCAAGCAGAGGTAGGATGTACATCTGCCGGGAGGACTTTCATTGTGCTCCTTTATAGCAGAAGCGGATTGGGCCGCATTGGCCTTTGGCGTCACTTCCAACTCTAGGATTCTATTATTGTTTTTGTTGTTATTAAGAAAAGGCTGGATGGTAACCTGTCAGGAGGGCTTTGATTGTGTCCTTTTATGGCAGAAGGGGATTGGACTGGATGCCCTTTGGGGTCTCTTCCAATTCTGGGATTCTGTTGTTGTTGTTGTTGTTGTTAGTTGTAATTTTTAAGCAGATACTCAATGGACATCTGTCTGCAAGTTTCTGTTGTGTCTCCCATTATGGCAGATGGCTGGACTGAATGACCTTAGGGGTCTCTTCCAACCCTAGGATCCTATGATCCAGAGACTGGATGACCATCTGTCACGAGGGCTTGGATGGTGTCCTTCCTGATAAAGAGGGTTGGATTTAATGGCCTTTGGACCCCTATGATTCTGAGGCTGGATGGCTATCTGTCAGGAGAGCTTTAATGGTGTCCTTTGTGGTAGAAGAGGTTGGATTGAATGCCCTTTGGAGCATCTTCCAGTTCTATGATCCAGAGCCTGGAAGACTATCTGTCGGGAGGGTTTCGGTTGTGTCTCTTTTTAGGCCAGATGGACTGAATCTCTTCCAACCCTAGGATTCTGCGATCCAGAGACTGGATGGCCATCTGTCAGGAGGGCTTGGATAGTGTCCTTCGTGGTGGAAGAGGGTTGGATTGAATTGGGAGGGATAGCCAATACTCCAGAAGACAGGAGCAGAATTCAAAACAATCTTAACAGATTAGAGAGATGAAGGGCCAAAATTAACAAAATGAAGTTCAAGAGGGACAAATGCAAGAGACTCCACTTAGGCAGAAAAAATGAAATGCAAAGATACAGAATGGGGCACGATGCCTGGCTCGAGAGCAGTACGTGTGAAAAAGATCTTGGAGTCCTCGTGGACAACAAGTTAAACATGAGTCAACAATGTGATGTGGCGGCAAAAAAAGCCAATGGGATTTTGGCCTGCATCAAGAGGAGCATAGTGTCTAGATCTAGGGAAGTCATGCTACCCCTTTATTCCGCTTTGGTTAGACCACACCTGGAATTCTGTGTTCAATTCTGGGCACCACAATTGAAGAGAGATATTGACAAGCTGGAATGTATCCAGAGGAGGGTGACTAAAATGATCAAGGGTCTGGAGAACAAGCCCTATGAGGAGTGGCTTAAGGAGCTGGGCATGTTTAGCCTGAAGAAGAGAAGGCTGAGAGGAGATATGATAGCCATGTATAAATATGTGAGAGGAAGCCACAGGGAGGAGGGAGCAAGCTTGTTTTCTGCTTCCCTGGAGACTAGGATGCAATGGAGCAATGGCTTCAAACTACAAGAAAGGAGATTCCATTTGAACATTAGGAAGAACTTCCTGGCTGTGAGAGCCGTTCAGCAGTGGAACTCTATGATCCAGAGCCTGGAAGACTATCTGTCGGGAGGGTTTCAGTTGTGTCTCTTTTTAGGCCAGATGGACTGAATCACCTTTAGAGTCTCTTCCAACCCTAGGATTCTGCAATCCTAGGATTCTGTGTGGTGGAGGCTCCTTCTTTGGAAGCTTTTAAACAGAGGCTGGATGGCCATCTGTCAGGGGTGCTTTGAATGCAATTTTCCTGCTTCTTGGTAGAAAGGGGTTGGACTGGATGGCCCATGAGATCTCTTCCAACTCTATGATTCTATTATTCTAATGTCCATTGGAGCCTCTTCCAACCCTAGGCTCCTATGATCCAGAAGCTGGATGGTGATCTGTCAGGAGGGGTTCAATTGTGACTCCCCTTAGGGCAGATAGTTGGACTGAATTACCTTTAGAGTCTCTTCCAACCCTAGGTTTCTGTGATCCAGAGGCTGGGTGGCCATCTGTCAGGAGGGCTTGGGTGGTGTAGAAGAGGGTTGAATTGAATGGCTTTTGGAGGCTCTTCCAACTGTAGGATCCTATGATCCAGAGGTTGGATGGCCATCTGTCGGGGGGATTCAAATGAGGCTGGCCTGGATGGCCCTCGGGTCCTCTATGTTCCTATGAGATGCGAGAGGTGACTCTCTCTCTATCTGGCTCCCGTTTCAGGAGGCCGGCCGCCGGACAGCCACGTGCCCCGACTACTGCCCCAACCTGTACGAAGACATGCAGACACTGACAGACATGTTCCAGTGCGATGTGGGGCGGGACATGCGCCTGCACAACAGCACCTTCCTGTGGTTTGTGCCCTTTGCTCACTCCCTGACGGACCTGAAGGACCTGGGCATGGCCTACAGCGTGGCAATCATGCACCACCTCTGCGCAGAGGTCCGGGGCATCCTGGGCGGAGAGGCAGCGGCACTGGGGACTTGTGACAAGGTCTCCGAATTCTTCATCTGGATCCTGGTCTCGGTGGTGGAGCTCAACTTCAAGCGCAGCTGCTTGCACTCCCTGTGGGTCAGCTCCGAGAACTGGGTGGAGGCGGTGGTCAAGTGTGTCCAGCTGCCCAGGACCGTGTTTTCCTCCTGCGGGACAAACTGGATGCCCTCTCAGGAGCCCCCCTCAGTGCAGCTGGCCTGCATGAGCCTCATCCGGAACATCCTGAAGGAGGGCTTCCAGGTTGGGCAGAGGAATACCCGCTTCCTGGACGAGCTCAACCTGCTGAGGCGCAACCGGGAAGATTGGAAGCTGAGCCCTGCACACGCCAAGGAGTTGCAGGAGTGCCTCAAGCACATCATCCGGAGCCTCTGGCGGAGGTCGGCAATGCCCCCCGCTTTCGCCCAAGAGCCCTCGCCGTTCCCGAGGGGCAGGGAAGACGCTCTTGCAGGAACGGCTCTTCCTTTAGTCAACATTAAGCAGGAACCCGGCAACAGCTTGGCCCTAGGCGGTTCGAGTCCTGAGCAAACTTGGGGCCAGAGAAAGAGAAACCAGGGTGCCGTGGATTCAGGGCTGAAATCCAGCCTCCATCAAGGCTCTCGCCAATTTGAAGAAAAAAGACCCATACCTCCCACTGAGAAGAGTGACAGCGATGCCTCGGAAGGAAAGACGGGCCCGACAAGCAGATCCAAGACGTCAGACCTGACTTTGAAATTGAAACGGTTGGTTGATAACATGAACAGGAGGGTCAACTGTTTGGAGCACGAGAAAGATGGTGGCAAGGGTCTCCAAAGGACAAAGGCCGGCGTTATTGGAAGTGGCCAGTCCAGCTCAACCTCAGGCCGCGTCCTATCCATCAAACAAGAGCCGGAGGAGCATCTGGTGGAGCTTAGAAGCGCCTCTGGAGCGGAAGGGAGTTCGGAGGAGAGCAGCAGCGAGGACGAGACAGCGGACATGCCTCTCTCTCAACTCAGGAAGGAGCTGATGAGGAAGAGGGTGGCTTCAGACACCTTCCGGTTGGACCGCGACCTCTGCCGACTGTCCCTGGCCACTAAAGTCAACACCTTACCTTCGGACTCCAGCCAGGAAGACAGCCCTTGCGATCAGGATCGAATTGAAAGGAAGGTCCGGGGTGCCACAAGGACCTGGCTCGAGAGCAGCAAGTCTCCATCCGACGTGGGAACACCCCTGATAAAGGTCATTGTCATTTCAGACGCTTCTTCGGATGAAGAGGAAAACAAAGCCAAGGCATCAGAGAGCACAAGACGGAAGGGAGAGTGCACCGCGACGTCCCCGAATCCCCCATCACCCTGTGAGGTCATTGAATCCCAGTGTTTCGAGTTCGAAACTGAGGACGATATTTACTCTGCTTGGCAAGACAGCCAGGCCTATAATGAGGCAGAGAAGCCACCAGCGAAGGGTTCCTCCTCCCTGAAGATATCCGATTCAGAGAACGCCAGGCAGCTCAACGAATGGGGCTACGACACAGACTACCTTGGTGATGAAATCGCGGAGAACGCGACGAATGAGACCGATCAGCGGGAGAAGGACAAGGAGGAAGGTAAGACCAAGCCTCAAGAACTGCACTCAAATTGTGTAAACAACAGGGAGCGCTCCAGACATAAGGATCCAGGTCCATCAACATTGGCTGGTCCTTCATCATCAACATCTAGAAAGTCTGCAAGTAGAATGGAGAAGAGTTTGGTGGCCAAAGCAACTAAGAGGAGCCCTGAGCAAAGAGGCATCAGCAGCAGCAAATCACCCCGCTCGACGCCGGCCGTTGTGCCTCCAAAGAAGGTCCACACGTTTCCTAGCCCGACGCGGCTGACAGAGAAACTGGGCCTGAGCAAAAGGGTGCGAAGGGCGGCGGACCTGTCACAGCGCACGCAGGACAGCATCACTAAGCTGCGCCAGCATGGGAAGGCGGCTGGGGAGCTCCCAGAGCAGCGCAAGGCCAAACTGATCCAGCCTCAGTTCCTGGCTGATCGGAACAAGAAGATGCTCACCTGCCAGGACCGGTACTTGCTCAACCACTGGAAGCAGAAAGAGCGGGAGGAGGTGGCGGCGGGCAGGAAGCCGTGCGCGGCATCGACGGCCCGGACCACCAAAGGCAAGGGCGCTCCCGCGAAGGGGAACCCATCCCGGAAACCTTTGCGGAAGAGTTCGATAGAGGCAAAGGCAGCTCCGTTAGTCTCTCTGACCCTGAAAGAATCCACCCCTTCAAACGTCCAAGAAACCGCCCCAAGTGATGCACGTTCTCCTGTGTCTGGAAGCAGTAAAACGGCCGTCACGGTCATCCCTTGCAATGAGGACCCGGTTTCGAAAGACGTAAACGGGGATGCGAGCGGAGACGACGATGCCTTATTTCTGACCCAGAGGGACCCGGTGCCCATGGAGCTGTGTTCACAAATGGACGCCGGACCCCCTGAGAACCCCCAGATCCTCCCTTTGCAAGGGGGGACCTCAGCTGAAAAGGGGCCCCCGGAGCCTCCAGAGCATGTCTTCGCCAAGCCCTCGCTGCCAGCCAAGCCCTCCACCACCAAGATCTTCAGCTCCGCCTCCTCTTCGCGGACAGCGCACCTCTCCAAGGAGCTCCAGAGCACCACCAAGCCTCCCGTGGCCCCCAGGAGCAAAGCGGTGGCTGCCCTTCGCACCACGGAAGCCCCAAAGCCCAAGATCCCAAAGAGTGTCCTTCAGCCCCAGAACCTGAACCACCGCCCTCCACAGAACAGTGGCCGGGTGCTGCCACCTGTCGCCGCCGTGGCCCCTCAGCCAGATTCCCGGCAGAAGAACAGCGTCGGCGTTGGCAGCGTCCAGCACCGGGATCACAGCCTTTTCATCAAAGAGGTTCTGAAGTGGAGCTATGATATGTTTGCCCACATCGGTCAGCTGGGGCCGCCGGACCACCTCCTCCGCTCGGTGGTGGCCTCTGTCCCGCTCTGCTTCAGGGATTACAACGAGTACTTTGATACCTTCTTCCCTCTGATGATGCTGAACGCCTTCGAAGAGGTGAGTCTTGGGCCCTTGTCCAGGATGCATTTAGGCATACAGGTAGCCCCCAAGTTACGATTGAGAAAGGTTACTGTAAGGTTGTTCATAAGCCGAATTTGTATTCAAGCCGGAATAGTGGAACTCCAGCCTCTATTATATTGTTTACTAACTGTACCCGCCACACATTGCTGTGGCCAACCTTCCCTCCCTCTTTCTCTCCTTCTTTCCCTCCTTCCTTTCCCTCTTTCCTTCCTTCCCTTTTCTTCTTCCTTCTCTCCTTCTTCCTTTCCCTACCTCTTTCCTTCCTTCCCCCTTTCTTTTCTTCCTCTTCTTCTCTTTCTTCTCTACCCTTTCTTTCTCTTCTTTCTTCCTTCCTCCTCTTTCCTTCCTTCCCCTTTTCCTTTTCCTCCCTCTTTCTCTCCTTTCTTCCTACTCTATCTCTTTTCTTCCTTCCTTCGCTTTTTGCTTCCATCCTTCCTTCTCTCTTTCCTTTCCTCCCTCTTTTTCTCCTTCTTTCCCTCCTTCCTTCGCTCCCTCTTTCCTTTCCTTTCCTTTCCTTTTTTCTTTCCCTATCTCCTTCTCCCTTTTTCTTTTCCTTCCTCTTTCTCTCCTCCTTCTCTACCTCTTCCTTTGCTTTTTGCTTCCATCCTTCCTTCTCTCTCTTTCCTTTTTTCCTTCCCTCCCTCGTTTTCTCCTTCTTTCCCTCCTTCCTTTGTTCCCTCTTTCCTTCGTTCCCTTTTTTCTTTCCTTCTCTCCTTCCTTCCTTCCCTACCTCTTTCCTTGCTCCCCCCTTCTTCTTTTCTTTCCTCTTTCTCTCCTTTCTTCCTTCTCTACCTCTTTCCTCTCTTTCTTTCTTGTTCTTCCTTCCTTCCCTTTTTCTGTTTTTGGGGGGGGGGGGTATGAGTGATGGTCACTTGTTGGTCTGTTAGGAGTATAGTGTCCAAATTTGGTGTCAATTCGTCCAGTGGTTTTTGAGTTATGTTAATCCCACAAACGAACATTACATTTTTATTTATATGGATAGTTTATATGTTTTAGTTTGTTTTATGCCGGCATTGAATGTTTGCCATTGAATTTTATGTTTCTCCCGCCGTTTCCTGCAGGCAGCCCAAGAATGGCAGGAGTACCAGAAGGCCAAGGAGCAGAAGCCGTTCTGCCTGAGTTTGCTGAACTTCAATGCGGACATGAATAAAGCAGATTTCATAGGTGGGAGGACCTTGGGATTTGGTTGGGATGGCTGATGGGCAGCAAGGAGGATTATTATCACGACGAGGATAATTTCACTTCTTACAACAGAGTTAAAATGCATCATCATAAAAATTCATATGTTAAAGGTTGCAATTAAGCCTCCTCACTTGGAGTTCTGAAGCAAAGGCTGGATGGCCATCTGTTAGGAGGGCTTTGATGGTGCTTTTCCTGCCTGGAAGAAATGGGGTTCGACTGGATGTCATTTGGGGGTCCTTTCACACTCTAAGATTCCATATGCCCCTTCCACTTCCCCTCTCTTTCTTTCCTTCTTTCTCTTCTTTCTTGTCTTTTCTTTCTTTTTTATCCTTCTCTTCTCTTCTTTTTTCTCTTCTTTTTCTTTTTTCTTTTTTCTTTCCTTCTTTCTCTTTCTTTCTCTTTCCTCCCTCCCTCCCTTCTTTTTCTTCTTTTTTCCTTTCTTTTTCTTTCCTTTTCCCCTTCCTTCCTTCTCTTCCTTTTTCCTTCCTCTTTCTCTTTCCTCCCTCCCTCCCTTCTTTCCTTCCTTCCTTCCTTCCTTCCTTCCTTCCTTCCTTCCCTCCCTCCCTCCCTCTCTTCTCTTCTCTTCTCTTCTCTTCTCTTCTCTTCTCTTCTCTTCTCTTCTCTTCTCTTCTCTTCTTCCTCCCTTCCATTTCACCCACCTTTTCTTTCCCTTCCTCTTTCTCCCCTTTCTTCCTTCTCCTCTCCTCTCCTCTCCTCTCTCTTCTCTCCTCTCCTCTTTCTTTTTTCTTTTTTCTTTTTTCTTTCCTTGTTTCTCTTTCTTTCTCTTTCCTCCCTCCCTCCCTTCTTTCTCTTCTTTCTTTTTCCTTACTTCCTTTATTCTTTCCTTCTTTCACCCCTTCCTTCCTCCCTTCCCTTCCCTTCCTTTCTCTTCCTCTTTCTTCTCTTTCCTCCCTCCCTCCCTCTTTCCTCTCCTTCCTTCTTTCCTTCCTTCCTTTTCCTTCTTTTTCTTTTTCTTTCTTTCCCTCCCTCCTTCCTTCCATTCTTTCTTACTTACTCTTCCTTCATTTCTTTCTCTTTCTCTCCCTCCTTCCTCCTTTGTCTGTCTGTCCTTCTTTCTTTCTTTCTTTCTTTCTTTCTTTCTCGTTCCTCCCTTCTCTTCTTTTCTTCATTCTTTCTTTCCATCCTCCCTTCTTTCCTTCTCTTCCTTTATTCTTTCTTTCTCTTTCTTTCCCTCTCTCCCTCCTTCCTTTTTTCCTTTCTTCTCTTCTTTCTCCAGTGCACATTCCCCAGAGTGACCTGGACAGGCAGCTGCACCCGAAGGAGGATGACTTAGTCTTCCTGGAGGTCTCTGAGAAGCGCTCCTTTGGCGAAGAGGAGGCAGAGGAGGCGGCGAGTGCCAACCCAGTGCGCTTTGTGGGCCTTGTGACGCGCTTCTCCCAACCGCCACCAGCCCCTAACCCTGGTAAGTTCCTTTTCAGGTAGGGCGCGGTCGACATGTCCCCCCTTCCCTTGACCTGTGCTGTAGTTGTGCTTTGCTGCCACCCACAGGAGGAAGGGACGAGCAGGCGGTGGTGTGCCACCTCTCGGTCCAGACGCAGGCCGACCTCTCTCGCGTGGACAAGCGGCTCCGGTGCCTGGTGGTCAGCTCCCTGGTGACGACGCAGCGGCGCTTCCGGGCCCTGCTTCTCCTCAACCGCAGCCCTCTGGCCAAGGCCCTGCTCAGCCCCAGCCCAGACGACTTCCGCCCGCGGGCCCTCCTCAGCCCCGAACCAGCCGTAAGTCTTTCATTACGGACTATGGGATTCTTCTCATGGAACCAAGGAGACTCCTGAGATACTCCCTAAACTTGTCGTATTGATTTATTCTTGTTGCTTATTGTTATTTATATGCCGTCTATTGCACTCCTCTGACTTTAAACACCATACGGCTGAGTAAAGATGCAAGCAGTTTATTGAAGATACTTTAAAAGCAGTAGCAATGAAAAGCAATCCACAAACATAGGTAAATCCAATCAGGTAGAAAGATAGCGAGAAACAAATAGTCCAGGAAATTAGTCCATCAGAGTTCATGAAAACAAATACTGAACCTTCCAAGGTAAAACCCCAAAACTTGAGCATGAATCAAACAAGGCACTTAGCACAGGAATCTATCCAAGGCGAGGCTTCCAGGGACCTGGGACAACTTCTTGACGCAATTCCAATATTGCTTCGTCTGGCTTCAGATTCTGTACTTGGCACTTTTATCCCCTTGTTGTTGTTCATTCGTTCAGTTGTCTCCGACTCTTCGTGACCTCATGGACCAGTCCACGCCAGAGCTCCCTGTCGGCCGTCACCACCCCCAGCTCTTTCAAGGTCAGTCCAGTCACTTCAAGGATGCCATCCATCCATCTTGCCCTTGGTCGGCCCCTCTTCCTTTTGCCTTCCACTTTCCCCAGCATAACTGTCTTCTCTAGGCTTTGCTGTCTCCTCATGATGTGGCCAAAGTACTTCAACTTTGTCTCTAGTATCCTTCCCTCCAATGAGCAGTCGGGTTTTATTTCCTGGAGGATGGACTGGTTGGATCTTCTCGCAGTCCAAGGCACTCTCAGCACTTTCCTCCAGCACCCCTAATCTACTCTATATCCCAAGCAGCCAGGAATGGACTTCTTTTCAGCCTTGACTCTGTTATCATTCTTTCTCGCAATCTGGCAGCGCGCCTGAGAGTTTGTTTTGTTTGCCTGTGCTGACTGAAAGCACTTCTGCGCAGGGTTCCATACTTCGCACTTTAAGAACACAATTATTCAGTGCTAAGGCATTCCGCCAAAATGGAACTGTAGAGGAGAGTCTACTGAACAAGCCAGTACCTGCCGCATACCAGTACTGCCATCTGTTGAGTTACGAAGGTGGAGGCATTATTTTTCATTCAACCCTCATACATGGAAATAAATAATAAATAAATAAATAAATAAAACTTAGCTAAACATGTATTAGAGGTCTGCGAGCCACTCTTTCCTAAGAAGTCTGCAATTCCTGGCGTTTTTTCTCTATCTCCCAGAAGCGGAGGAGAACACAGGCCTTTGTGAACATGCAGGCTGGAGAAGGGTTTGTGTCTTCCCAGTGTGACGACCCTTTGCTTCCTTCCGCCCTTTGCAGGCCTCTTCCGGGAGGGAATTCAACGAGGAGCAGCGCCGGGCCATCGAGGTGGCCTTCTCCATGGTGACGCAGCACCCTGCTCTACCCAAGGTCTGCCTGGTCCATGGCCCGCCCGGGACGGGAAAGTCCAAGGCCATTGTTGGCCTCCTCCACCGCATCCTCAGCCAGGTCAGGCCCGTTGCCTCCTCGCATCGCATATTACTTTGCTAGATTATATTCTAATATTATTATTATATTGTTACATTATTATTATTATAGTATTAGATTGCTATATTATATTCTAATGTTATTTTGATACTAGGCGTTCCCTGCCATGCGTTGCTGTGGCCCAGTCTGTGTGTATGTGTTTTGTGTGTGTATATATTTGTGTATATGTGTATATATGTGTGTTTGCATATATATATATCTATATAAATAAAAACGTAATGTTCGTTCGTGGGATTAACAGAACTCAAAAACCACTGGACGAATTGACACCAAATTTGGTCACAAGACACCTAACAACCTAATGTATGTCCTTCACTCAAAAAAAGGATTTTTGTCATTTGGGAGTTGAAGTTGCTGGGATTTATAGTTTACCTGCAATCAAAGAGCGTTCTGAACCCCACCAACGATGGCATTGAACCAAATTTGGCACACAGGTCTCCCATAACTAACAGAAAATACTGATAGGGTTTGGTGGGCAGTGTCCTTTGGTTTTGGAGTTGTAGTTCACCTACATCCAGAGAGCACTGTGGACTCAAACAATGACATAACATCATACACAGTCAGCCCCCTAAGTTATGAACAAGATGGGTTTTGAAGGTTTCTTTTTAAGTTGAATTTGTACGTAAGTCAGAACAGGGACATGTCTGAAGTTTAACTCCAGCTACACACACACACACACACACACACACACACACACACACACACACGTATATATTCTTTAAACTTGTTCAGCCTCCCTAAGCTATCGAAAGCGAATATATATGTTTGTGTTTGCTCTGCAGAAGCCCGGGAAGGAGAACCCGGTGCAGTGCCTGAACGCCAAGATCAAGCGCAACCGGGTCCTGGTTTGCGCCCCGTCCAACGCCGCCGTGGACGACCTGATGAAGAAGATCATCCTGGAGTTCAAGGAGAAGTGCCAGGACAAGAACAGCCCCCAGGGTAGGCAGGCCTTGGCTTTGGCAGAATCCCTTTCAGAGAATGCAGCAGCTCAGGGGTGAAGTGGAACCCACAGATAGGGATCCGTTGAGGCAAAAATAATATGGTGCCCTGCCTTGAGTTGCAAGGAGAGGCGAGTAATACAATTATTATCATTATCATTATCATCATCATGAAACTTTGGCCTCGAGCTGCAAGGAGAGATGGGTAATACTATTATTTGAAACAACAAGATGAGTCCACAGCAGACACTCTGCTGGCTGTTATATTGGATCACATGTCGGACACTTCCCAAGTGTCTGGGACTGTGTGATGTATCGGTGAATAATGCGTGCAGATCCCAGTAAGGTGGCCCTTTGCAGCCGGCAAATAATAATAATACTATTATTATTATTATTATTATTATTACTAGCTGTCCCCTGCCACGCGTTGCTGTGGCCCAGTCTGTTGATCTGGAAAATGGCCTTGGATGTCCTTAAGTATTTTCTGTTGGTCATGGGTGTTCTGTGTAGGAAGGTTGCCCCGATTCTGTCTCTTTGATTGTAGGTGAACTGTGAATCCCAGTGACTACAATTCCCAAATGTTAAGATCTATTTACCCCAAACTCCATCTGTGTTCATATTTGGGCGTATTGAGTGCTTGTGCCAAATTTGGTCCAGATCCATCATTGTTTGAGTCCACAGTGCTCTCTGGATGTAGGTGAACTACAATTCCCAAACTCAAGGTCAATGCCCACCAAACCCTTCCAGTATTTTCTGTTGGTCGTGGGAGTTCTGTGTGCCAAGTTTGGTTCAATTTCATCATTGGTGGAGTTCAGAATGCTCTTTGAGTGTAGGTGAACTATAAATCCCAGCAACTACAACTCCCAAATGTCAAGGTCTATTTTCCCCAAATTCCGCCACATTTTAGCATATTGAGTATTCATGCCAAATTTGGTCCAGATCTATCATTGTTTGAGTCCACAGTGCTCTCTGGATGTAGGTGAACTACAACTCCAAAACTCAAGGTCAATGCCCACCAAACCCTTCCAGTATTTTCTGTTGGTCGTGGGAGTCCTGTGCGCCAAGTTTGATTCAATTCCATCATTGATGGAGTTCAGAATGCTCTTTGAGTGTAGGTGAACTATAAATCCCACCAATTACAACTCCCAAATGACAAAATCCTAATTTTTGAGTGATGGTCACTCCTTGTGTTGTGAGACATTTTGTTGCCAAATTTGATGGGTATTGGCCCAGCGGTTCTTTTGTTTTTAAGCCACTCATTACGACATGAGCATTTATATATATATATAGATGAAACTGGTCTTGAGTTACAAGGAAAGGTGAGTAATAAAATAATAATGATGATGATGATGATAATAATAATAATGATGATGAGAGGCAGGTAATAGATTTATTATTATTATTATTATTATTATTATTACCATCAGCATCATGAAACTTTGGTCTCAAGCTGCAAGGAGAGGTGGGTAATATTGTTATTATTATTATGAAACTGGTCTTGAGCTACAAGGAGAGGTGAGTAATAATAATAATAATAATAATAATAATGAGAGGCAGGTAATAAGATCTATTGTTATCATCATCATCATGAAACTTTGACCTCGAGCTGTAAGGAGAGATGATGATGATGATGATGATGATCTTTTTGAAACCTTTGCCTTTATCCACAAGGAAAGATGGGCAATAAATATTTTTACTATTATTATTGTTATTGTTGTCATCATGAAACTTTGGCCTTGAACTGCAAGAAGCACTGGGTAATGCAATAATAATAATAATAATAATAATTATTATTATTATTATTATTATTATTATTATTATTATGAAACTGGTTTTGAGCTACAAGGAGAGGCGGTAATATAAATAATACTAATACTAATAATGCTAATAACAACGTCTGCAAGGACGTTGCCCAGGGGACGCCCAGATGTTTTGATGTTTTTACAATCCTTGTGGGAGGCTTCTCTCATGTCCCCACATAGAGAGCTGGAGCTGATATTATTATTATCATTATTATTATTATTATGAAACTGGTTTTGAGCTACAAGGAGAGGCAGTAATATAAATAATACTAATACTAATAATGCTAATAATAATAATAATAATAATAATAATAATATGTCTGACGTGTGATCCAATACAACAGCCAGCGGAGTGTCTGCTGTGGACTCATCTTGTGTTTCAAATAATAATAATAATAATAATAATAATAATAATAATGAGAGGTGGGTTATTATTATTGTCCTCTTTCTGCCAACTTTCCCTCCAGGAAACTGTGGGGACATCAACTTGGTGCGTTTGGGGCAGCAGAAGTCGATTAGCAAAGATGTCCGTCGGTTCAGTCTGAATGACCAGATCGACCACAGAATCAGTGAGTAATGGCCTTTCCGGTCTCTGTGAGGGTTGCTTGCCGTTCTGTCCTTTGGAGCGATGGAGGGGACTCCAACCCTTGTGTGCCGCCCATAATACCGCCCGTGAAGTCAGTCCATTGGGTGCCAATCTGTTGAGGCCTGATCTGAGGAGGAGAGGGACCCTTTCGTGATGGAAGGGACTGGATTGCTGCTTACAACTCAGCACCTTCTGTTACGGAGATATTTTTTTCATGTCAGGAGTGACTTGAGAAACTGCAAGTTGCTTCTGGTGTGAGAGAATTGGCCGTCTGCGAGGACGTTGCCCAGGGGACGCCCAGATGTTTTGATGTTTTTACAATCCTTGTGGGAGGCTTCTCTCATGTCCCCACATAGAGAGCTGGAGCTGACAGAGGGCGCTCATCCACACTCTCCCTGGATTTGAACCTGTGACCTGTTGGTTCTTCAGCCCTGCTGGCGCAAGGGTTTAACCCACTGCGCCACTGAGGGCTCTATGGAGAGATAGCAGCAAGGAAAGGCAGTTAAGGTTTTCCCAGTGTTTGAAAGATAAACAAAGGGATATCAGGTGTTTCCCATTGTGGTCAACTGTGAATCGCACATATTTTAGTTTCTGCACCTGAGCAGACAGCTTCGGAACCTTCTAGATAGATTTGAAAAAACTTTTATGGCAGTTTGTATACAGCTCTTTGTTTAAGGATTTTTGGCTTGACTTTCAGTATTGGACTCAAGAATCATAGAATCCTAGAGTTGGAAGAGACCTCATGGGCCATCCAGTCCAACCCCCTGCCAAGAAGCAGGAATACTGCATTCAAATCACCCCTGACAGATGGCCATCCAGCCTCTGCTTAAAAGCTTCCAAAGAAGGAGCCTCCACCACACTCCGGGGCAGAGAGTTCCACTGCTGAACTCAGGAAGTTCTTCCTCATGTTCAGATGGAATCTCCTCTCTTGTAGTTTGAAGCCATTGTTCCGCGTCCTAGTCTCCAGGGAAGCAGAAAACAAGCTTGCTCCCTCCTCCCTGTGGCTTCCTCTCACATATTTATACATGGCTATCATATCTCCTCTCAGCCTTCTCTTCTTCAGGCTAAACATGCCCAGCTCCTTAAGCCCCTCCTCATGAGGCTTGTTCTCCAGACCCTTGATCATTTTAGTCGCCCTCCTCTGGACACATTCCAGCTTGTCAATATCTCTCTTGAATTGTGGTGCCCAGAATTGGACACAATATTCCAGGTGTGGTCTAACCAAAGCAGAATAGAGGGGTAGCATACTTCCCTAGATCTAGACACTATGCTCCTATTGATGCAGGCCAAAATCCCATTGGCTTTTTTTTTTTTGCCGCCACATCACATTGTTGGCTCATGTTTAACTTGTTGTCCATGAGGACTCCAAGATCTTTTTCACACGTACTGCTCTCGAGCCACACGTCCCCCAGAAGGTTATGACTGTAACCTATATTTTGGAGTGAATTTGGAAGCCAGTATTTGGGATGCTTTTGCCTTTTATGCATACTTTGGAAATACAGTCGGGTGCTCAATCCGACTCCGGCTTCAAACTTGCCACCTTCTGGTCTGCAGTGATCTATGGCTGCTGGCGATTAACCAGCTGTGCTACAGCCCGGCCCTAATTTGGACTAATTGGCTCTTCATTTTGGGGGGAAAGGGGTCGCATAGGTGGCTGGGCTGCAACCAAATCTCTCTCCTTGAACTGCACAGTCAAGGCCACGCTGGGCAAAGACCAGGATCTTCAGAAGCGGAAGGAAGACCTGGACCGGCAGCTGGACCTGCTCTCGCGCGAACGGGCCATTTACCGCAGCGAGAAGAGGGAGAAGGTGAGTCCTCTCTGGCATTGTTTCCAAGGGTGGCTCGGGAACAGCGGCCCGCCTCATCCGGGGACGACGGAAAAGCTTCCTTTTGTGCCATTTGGCCTCTGTTTCAGATGCAACAGCTGGATGACGAGATCTGCCGCCTGTCCAAGGAGAGGCAGCGCCTGGCTTCCCAGCTGAAGGAGGTAATTTGGGCTTCTTCTCCATCAAAATAACATTGGAAGGGAATTGGAAAACACACTCAAAAGAAAAGGGAGCAAAGCACAGCTCCTGCTGCATTTTGGAAATACTCTTCCGGTCCATGAATTTTATTTATTACTAGCTGTACCTGCCACGCGTTGCTGTGGCCAACCTTCCCTCCCTCTTTCTCTCCTTTCTTCCCTCTTTTTCCCTCCTTCCTCCTTCTCCTTTCCTTCCTTCCCCTTCTTCTTCCCTCCCTTTTCTTCCCCTTCCTCTTCTTTAATTTATACCCTTTTTTTCCTCCCTTTTTCCTTTGCTCCCTTGGTTTACTGACTTCCTTACTGACTTCCTTCTTTTTTTCCTTCTCCCTCCTTCCCCTTTTCCCTCCTTTTTTCCCTTTCCTTCCTTTCTTCCTCCCTTCCTTTTTTCCTTTCTCTCCTTCCTTCCTCCCTCTTTTTCTTTTTCTTTTTCTTTCTTCCCTCCCCTTTTCTTCTCCCTTCCTTCCTCCTTTTTTCCCTCCTTCCTTTCCTTCTTTTTCCCTCCCCTTTTCTTCCTTTCTTTTTTTTCTTTTCCACATCCCCCTTCCCCTTTTTTTATAATTTTGTTATTTTTAAATGGGAAAAAGAAGGAAAAAGGAAAGAAGGGAAGAAAGGAAGAAAGGAAGGAAGGAAAAAAGAAAGGAAGGAAGGGAGGGAGGAAGAAAGAAGAATGAAGGAAGAAGGAGGGAGGGAAAGGAAGGAGGGAGGGAAGGAAATGAAGGGGAAGGAAATAAAGAAAGGGAAAGAAAGAGGAAAGGAAGGGAAGGAGGGAGGAAAGGAAGGAGGACAGGAAGGAAGGGAAGGAGGGAAAAAGGAAAGGAAGGAGAAGGAAGGAAAAAGAAGGAAAGGAAAAAAAAGGGAGGGAGAAAGGAGGGAGGAAAGGAAGAAGAAAGGAAGGAAAAGAAAAAGGAAGGGAGGAAAGAAGGAAGGGGGAAAAGAAAAGAGAGAGAAGGAGAGAAAGGGAAAAGAAGGAGGAAAGGGGGGGAAAGGGAAAAAGAAGGGAAGGAGAAGGAAAGGAGGAAGGAAGGAAGGGGAAAAAGGGAGGAGGGAAAGAGGGAAGGAAGGAAAAAAGGAGGGAAGGAAGGGAAGGAGGGGAAAGAGAGAAGGAAGGAGGGAAAGAAAGGGGGGTTAAGAAAGGAGGGAGGGAAGGAAATGGAAGGAAATGAAGAAAGGGAAAGAAGAGGAAAGGGAGGGAGGGAGGAAAAGAAGAAAGGAAGGAAGGAAGGAAGGAAGGAGGAAAAAGGGAGGGAGGGAAAGAAGGGAAGGAAGGAGAAGGAAGGAAGAAAAGGAAAGGAAGGAAGGGAGGAAAGAAGGGAAGGGAGGGAGAGAAGGAAGGTCCTTCATTCAAGCACCTTGGACCTTCCTCGCAAACATTCAATGCTATTAGACATACAACATATATATATAGACAGACACACAGAGGCAATTTAACATTCCAGGTTTTCCGGCTTCATGAGGGTATGTTCGATTCCAGCCACAAGGGGAGCTGTCACTTAACCATCCACTTGTGACACTCATTCCTTGATGGAGTACTTCCTCATTCTTGCGCACGCTGCTGGAAGGTTTTTATGGTGTCGTAAATTAGTTAAATTAGCCTCCCTGCATAAAGCGGTACAGCGTTCCCTCACTTATTTCTGGTGTTATGTCCCAAGACCACCCGCAAAAAGTGAAAATCCACAAAGTAGGGACGAGAGATATATATCTATATAAATAAAAATGTAATGTTCGTTTGTGGGATTAACAGAACTCAAAAACCACTGGATGAATTGTCATCAAATTTGGACACGACACCTAACAACCCAGTGTATGTCTTTCACTCAGAAAAATTACTTTTGTCATTTGGGAGTTGTAGTTGCTGGATTTATAGTTCACTTACAATCAAAGAGCATTCTGACCCCACCAACGATGGAATTGAACCAAACTTGGCACACAGTTTTCCCATGACCAACAGGAAATACTGGAAGTGTTTGGTGGGCAGTGTCCTTTGGCAGTTCACCTACATCCAGAGAGCACTGTGGACTCAAACAATGATGGATCTGGACCAAACTACACGAATACTCAATATGCTCTGTGATTGTAGAGCGTTCTGAACTTGACCAATGTTAGAATTGGGCCAAACCTCCCACACAGAACCCCCATGACCACCAGAGTGGGCCACAGCAACGCATGGCAAGGGACGGCTAGTCTATATAAATAAAAATGTAATGTTTGTCTGGGATCAACATAACTCAAAAACCACTGGACGAATCGACACCAAATTTGGACACGATACATCTATCAGGCCAATGAGTGACCATCACTCATAAAAACACTGAAAAACACAGAGGAAGGGACTTAAAAAGCAAAAAACACACACATTACAACGCATGTGCATAACCACATATAAACAGATATACTGGGCCACAGCAATTCATGGCAGGGGATGGCTAGTATTTAAAGGCACTGCACACTTTTTTTTTTGCTAGCTATAAGAAAGGGGCTATAAGGCTGTGATTTACATAGTGCTCTCTCTCTCTCTCTCTCTTTTTGATTGGCTGCCTCTCTTCCGAGGGGGAGGGTGAAACCCCCTTCCACACTCCATCATTGCCAGAAGGCAAAACCCCACAAAACAATGAGTCTGCAAAAAACGAACTGCAAAGTAGTGGCGGAACACTACCTAAATTTCCTACTTGACAGATGCAAATGGTTTTTGGGCTGCATAGGTCAACAGCAAGCTAGACTGTTAATGGTTGGGAGCTCACACCAACCCAGGCTGGCTTTGAACTCATGACTGCTGTGTTTTTATGAGTGATTGTCACTCATTGACCTGATAGGTGACTTGTGTCCAAATTTGGTTTCAATTTATCCAGTGGTTTTTGAGTTATGTTAATCCCACAAATGAACATTACATTTTTATTTATATGGATTAATGAATAATAATAATAACAATATAATAATAAATGATAATAATAATATAACGATATAATGGTGCTGCTTCTTCCGGCAGGTGCGTGGGCGTTCTCAGGAGTTGAAGGCCAGTGTTATCCTGGAGTCGCACGTGGTGTGCTGCACACTCAGCACCAGCGGAGGGGGGCTGCTGGAGTCGGCCTTCCGGAGACTGGGAGGGGACCCCGTCAGCTGTGTCATTGTGGATGAGGTCAGGCTGGGGGTGGGGCAAGGGGTGGAGCAAGGGGGGGGGGTCGCATCACATGGGGGGGGGCAGGGGTCAGTCCAGAGCAAGCCCTGCCTAAGAAGTTCTGGCACTCATTCAATCAGGTGCAGCAGGCATCATTGATCTCCATTTCACTAAAGTGGGTGGGCGGAATAGGCAGAAGCACCATCAGAAGGAAAGTAGGGCTCCTCAATAGTCGCCAACTTCCCTCTTCAGTGCTTTTGTCAATGACTTCCTTCCTTCCTTCCTTCCTTCCTTCCTTCCTTCCTTCCTTCCTTCCTTCCTTCCTTCCTTTTCTTCCCTCTTTCTTTCTTTTTCCTTTTTCCTTTTCTTTTCCTTTTCTTTTTTTTCTTTCTTTCTTTTCCTCCCTCCCTTTTTCCCTTCCTTTTTTTCTTTCCTTCTCTTTTTTCCCTTTCTCCCCTTTCTTACCTTTTTTCTTTTTTCCCTTCCTTCCATCCTTCCCTTCCCCCTTTCATCCCTTCCCTCCCTTTTCTCTTTCCTTCCTTTCACTTTTTTTTTCTTTCCCTTCTCCTTCCTTCCCCTTTCTTTTCTTTTTTCCTTCCCTTCCCCCCTCCTTCCTTTCCCTCCTTTTCCCTTCCTTTCCTTTTTCTTTTTTTCTTCCTTCCTTCCTTCTTTTTCCTTTTTTTTCTTTTTCCTTCCCTCTTTCTCTTTCTTCTCCTTCCCTTCCTTCCTTTTTCCTTCCCTTTCCCTTTTTCCTCCTCCTTTCCTTCCTTTCCTTTTTCTTTTTTTTCTTTCCCTTTTTTTCTTTTCTTCCCTTCCTAACCCTTCTTTGTCTTTTCTTTCTTCTTTTCTTTTATCTTCCTTCCTTCTTTTTTTCCTTCCTTCCCTTCTTTCCTTTTTTTCCTTTCCTCCCTCTCCTTCCTTTTCCTTCTTTTCCCTTCTTCCTTCCCTTTCCTTCCCTTCCTCCTTCCTTCCCTTTTCTTCCCCTTATTTTTCCTTCTCTTTCTTTCCTTCCCTTTTCATTCCTCTTCCTCTTCCTTCCCCCTTTTCTTTTTTCTTTCTTTCCCCCTTTTCTTCCTTCTCCCTTTTTCTTTTCTCCTTCTCTCCTTCCTTCCTTCCCTTTCCTTTTCTTTCCTTTCTTTCCCTTTTCCTTCTTTTCTTTTCCTTCCTTCCCTTCCTTCCCTTTCCTTCCTTTCCCTTTTCCTTTCCTTCCCTTCCTCCTCTTTCTTTCCTTCCTTTTCCCCTTTCCCTTTTCCCCTCCCCTTTCCTTCCCTTCCTTTTCCTTCCCTTTCCTTCCTTCCTTTTCCTTCCTTCCTTCCTTCCTTCCTTTCCTTCCTTCTTTTTTCCTTCCTTCCTTCCCTTTTTTTTTTCCTTCCTTCCTTCCTTCCTTTTCCTTCCTTCCTTCCCTTTCCTTCCTTCCCCTTCCTTCCTTCCTTCCTTTCCCTTTCCCTTCCTTTCCCCTTTCCCTTTTTCTTCCTTCCTTTTCATTTCCCCTCCTTTCCCTCTCTCTTTCCTTCCTTCTCTCTCTCTTTCTTTTTTCTTTTTCCTCTTTCCCTCCCCTCCCCCCTCCTCCCTCCTTTTTGTTTTTTTCTTTTCTTTTTCCTTTCCTTTCCCTTTTTCTTTCTTCCCCTACTCCTTTCCCTTTTCTTTTCCTTCCTTCCCTTTCCTCTTTCCTTCTTTTCCTTCCTTCCCTCTTTTCTTCCCTTCTTCCTTCTCTTTCCTTCTTTTTTTTTTCTTTCCTCCTTTCCCTTTCTTTTTTTTTTTCCCTTCCTCTTTGTCCTTCCTTCTCTCCCTTTCCTTCCTCTTTCCTCCCTTCCTTTTCCCTCCCCCTTCCCTTCCCTCCCTTCCTTTCCCTCCCCTCCTTTCCTTTCTTTTTCCCCTTTTCTTTTTTTTCCTTTTTTCCTTTTCCTTTTCTTTTCTTCTTTTCTTTTTCCTTCCTCTTTCCTTTTTTTCTTCTTTCTTTTTTCCCCCTTTTTTTCTTTCTTTTTTTTTTTTATTTTTTTTTTTTTCTTTTTCTTTTTTCTACCATCTTTCATTCCTTCCGTCCGTCCATCCGTATTTCTTTTCTTTCTTTTCTTCTTTTCTTTTCTTCCCTTTTTCCTACCCTCTTTCTTCCTTTTTTCCTTCCCTTCCCTTTTTCTTTCCCCTTCCCTTTCCTTTCTTCATTCTATCCATCTTTCTGTCTTTCTCTTTATTTCGGTGGTGCCCAACGTAAGCCGCTTACTTGGGGCTTAGCGGGGCCTCAGAAGGAGGAGGCAAAGGCAGGAAAGGGAAGGAAGGGCCCAGCTGTCAAAATAGGAATTCAGAAATCCATTATAGAAGGGAGATTATTATATATTCTGGGAGGAAGAAGTGGGAGCCGGGAAGATTAAGGACTGATAATTATAATAATCCCTTCTGGAGCTCTCTCCCATGGGATAGAACCACCCCCCTTCCGCCACGAAGGAGCACCCAATCAGAGCATTCCTCACAGATGGCCACCCAGCCTCTGTTTAGAAACCTTCCCCAAACGCTCCCATTCTCATATAATAATAATAATACATAATATTGCCTTCTGGGGGGAAGAGTGATCAGACAGAGAGAGGGCCTTGGCTCTATTCTATCCCTCTGGCGTTTTCCCATTCTGTCTCTTTCTCGCTCTCAAAGGCAGGGCAGACCTGTGAGGTGGAGACTCTCATCCCGCTGATCCACGGCTGCAAAAAACTGGTCCTGGTGGGAGACCCCAAGCAGCTCCCTCCCACCGTCAAGTCCATGGTAAGGATGCCAGCCGGCCATCTGTCGGGAGGGATTGGATTGTGTCTTCCTGCCTGGCAGAATGGCACTAGAAGGTTCTCTTCCAGCTCTAGGATTCTGGTATCTTTCTGTCATACCTGTTGTATCCATTTATTTATCTATGCCTCTATTTAACTAATGTATTCATGGCTATCATCTATGGCTGGGTGGCTATCACTCGGGAGGAATCAGGTGGTACCTTCTTTGACGGCAGAAGGGGGTCCCTTCAACTCTCTGAGTCTATTTGGGAGTCTATGTATCTCTGTGGGGGTTGGTCTGGATGGCCTTTGGGGTCCTTCCAACTCTGTGTGTATCTCTCCAAGGATTGAGTCTATCTCTTTGGGAGTCTATCTATCTCTGTGGGGGTTAGTCTAGATGGCCTTTGGGGGTCCCTCCAACTCTCTGAGTCTGTCCATTTGGGAGTCTTATCTATCTCTGTGGGGGTTAGTCTGGATGGCCTTTGGGGGTCTCCCCCAACTCTGAGTCTTATCTCTTTGGGAGTTTATCTCTGTGGGGGTTGGTCTGGATGGCCTTTGGGGGGTCCTTTCCAACTCCTGGGGTGGTAATATCTCTCCAGGAATTGGAAAAGTTCTTAGTGCTTGTCTGTTTGATGTCCCCCCCCCCCCAACTTACTTTGATTGCCCCCTGTCTATTTTTTGGGAATCTTATCTATCTCCGTGGGGGTTGGTCTGGATGGCCTTTGGGGGTCCTTCCAACTCTGTGTGTATCTCTCCAGGAATTGATCTGGATGGCCTTTGAGGTCCCCCCAACTCTTGAGTCTATCTCTTTGGGAATCTTATCTATCTCCGTGGGGGTTGGTCTGGATGGCCTTTGGGGGTCCTTCCAACTCTGTGTGTATCTCTCCAGGAATTGATCTGGATGGCCTTTGAGGTCCCCCCAACTCTTGAGTCTATCTCTTTGGGAATCTTATCTATCTCCGTGGGGGTTGGTCTGGATGGCCTTTGGGGGTCCTTCCAACTCTGTGTGTATCTCTCCAGGAATTGATCTGGATGGCCTTTGAGGTCCCCCCAACTCTTGAGTCTATCTCTTTGGGAATCTTATCTATCTCCGTGGGGGTTGGTCTGGATGGCCTTTGGGGGTCCCCCCCAACTCTGAGTCTTATCTCTTTGGGAGTCTATCTCCGTGGGGGTTGGTCTGGATGGCCTTTGGGGGTCCCCCCAACTCTATGGGTCTGTCTGCTTTTTGGGGGGGTAGGTCTAGATGGCCTTTGGGGGTCCCTTCCAACTCTCTGAGTCTGTCTATTTCTTTAGGAGTCTATACATCTCTGTGGGGGTTGGTCTGGTTGGGCTCTAGGGGTCTATCTATCTTGGGATTGGTCTGGATGGCTTTTGGAGTCCCTTTCAATTCTCTGAGTCTATCTCTTTAGAGGTCTATCTCTGTGGGGGTTGGTCTGCATGGCCTTTAGGGGTCCCTTCCAACTCGGGTGTATCTCTGCGGGGGTTGAACTAGATGGCTTTTGGGGGTCCATCCAACGCTATGGGTCTATCTATCTCTTTGGGGGTTGGTCTGGATGGCCTTTGAAGGCTCTTCTAACTTTATGACTCTATGAATACCCAGCCCTAATTTACCAATAAGCTCCAGCCCTATAGTTTGCTTTTTGCCCATGCCCTGCCCTTTCTAGTCTGACCATGCACACCATATTCCTGGTTGTTGAGGTTGGTTTGATATATTTTTACATTGTTTATATAATTTGCTGTTTTTAATTGTTTTAATTAGATTGTTTATGTTATATTTTATGTTATTATGTTTTTAACTGTGTTTTTGCTGGTAAATTTTGTTGTACGCTGGGCTTCGGGGAGATGGTGGCGGTGAATAAGAATTATTATTATTATTATTATTATTATTATTATTATTATTATGATGTTTGGGGGCCCTTCCAACTATGAATCTATCCATCTCTTTTGGAGTTGATGACACAAGTAAGTTACTTGATGACACAAGTAAGTAAGTAAGTAAGTAAGTAAGTAAGTAAGTAAGTAAGTTTGGAGTTGGATTGGATGGTCTTTGGGGATCCCTTCCAACTCTATAGGTTTATTGACCTTTGGGGACTCTGTCTATCTCTGTGGGGGTTGGACTGGATGACCTTTGAAGGGACCCTTCCAACTGTGAGTCTATCAATCTCTTTGGCAGTTGGTCTGGATGGCCTTTGAAGGCTCTTCCAACTCTATAGGTTTATCCATTTCTTTGTGGGTTAGACTGGATGGCCTTTGGGAATCCAACTCTGTGAGCCTGTCTATCTATGTAGGGGTTGGTCTGGATGACCTTTGAAGGCTCTTCCAACTTGATGACACTATCTATGTGGGGGTTGGACTGGGTGGCTTTTGGGTGTCCCTCAAGCGCTATCTATCTCTCCAGGGGTTGGACTAGGTGGCCTTTGGGGGCCCTCCAGCTCTACGAGTCTATCTATGTAGGGGTTGGTCTGGATGACCTCTGAAGGCTCTTCCAACTTGATGACACTATCTATGTGTGGGTTGGTCTGGGTGGCCTTTGGAGGCCCCTCCAGCTTTATGAATCTATCTATGTAGGGGTTGGTCTGGATGGCCTTTGAAGGCTCTTCCAACTTGATGACACTATCTATATGGGGGTTGGACTGGGTGGCTTTTGGGCGTCCCTCAAGCTCTATGGTTCTATCTATCTCTCTGGGGGATGGACTAGGTGGCCTTTGGGGACCCTCCAGCTCTACGAGTCTTATCTATGTAGGGGTTGGTCTGGATGACCTCTGAAGGCTCTTCCAACTTGATGACACTATCTATGTGGGGGTTGGACTGGGTGGCCTTTAGGGGCCTCTCCAGCTTTATGAAACTATCTATGTAGAGGTTGGTCTGGATGACCTCTGAAGGCTCTTCCAACTTGATGACACTATCTATGTGGGAGTTGGACTGGGTGGCTTTTGGGCATCCCTCAAAAGCTGTGGTTCTATCTATCTCTCCGGGGGATGGACTAGGTGGCCTTTGGGGGCCCTCCAGCTCTATGAGTCTATCTATGTAGGGGTTGGTCTGGGTGGCCTTTGAAGGCTCTTCCAACTTGATGACACTATCTATGTGGGGGTTGGACTGGGTGGCCTTTGGGGGCCCCTCCAGCTTTATGAAACTATGTAGAGGTTGGTCTGGATGACCTCGGAAGGCTCTTCCAACTTGATGACACTATCTATGTGTGGGTTGGTCTGGGTGGCCTTTGGGGGACCTCCAGCTCTACAAGTCTATCTATGTAGGGGTTGCTCTGGGTGGCCTTTGAAGGCTCTTCCAACTTGATGACACTATGTGGGGGTTGGACTGGATGGCCTTTGGGGGTCCCTCCAGCCCTAGGTTTGTGTCACCTTTTTTGCTTGCTTATGTGCAGAAGGCGCAGGACTTCCACTTCGACCAGGCGCTGATGAGCCGCCTCTGCCGCCTGCTGGAGGGGCCCCGGACCCCGGAGGAGGAGGAGCCGGCGGGAGGTCCCCGGAGGAGCCCCGTCCTGCGGCTGAGCACCCAGTACCGCATGCACCCCGAGATCTGCCTCTTCCCCTCCAAGTACATCTATGGGGGGGTCCTTTGCACAGACAGGTGTGTACACACATCCCTCTCGCTCCTTTACTACTCCCACTAGTAGTAGTATCGTTACAAGCAGACTCTACTACAACAACATAATTTTTAATATTATGAGGTATATTATTTATATGATTATTATTTTGATGCTACGAATAATAATATAGAATATATATTCTATAGAATATATAGATATAATAAGAAAATAATATAATGTCTATAATATTGGAGAATGTTTTTATTAAGATACGCAAATGATTTATGTTTTTAACACTCTTGGTATGATTTTGTATCATGTGTTAATGTTTTGAAATGTTTGATGGTGTTTTTGGCCATCGAATCGTTGCCATTGTAAACCGCCCTGAGTTGCTCGAGGCTGAGAAGGGCGGTATACAAATACAGCAAATAAAATAAATAAATTATTATTATCTTGAGGTGGTTATTATAATCGGAGTTAGACATGACTAAACTTAATGTCAGGAGAAAACCTTTACCCTTTATGCTGTTATAATCAATAATATATATTATATTTTATATTATTTATAGTGTTATTATTATTTTGAAGTTATAATCATCATCACCAATAATATGGCATTGATAACCCAGGGACAAAAATCATGTGACATAATTATTATTTACTTTATTTGTACCCCGCTAGCATCTCCCGCAGGATTCGATGCGGCTTACAATAGGCCGAAGCCCAACACAAAACAACAATACAATATCTAGCAAATAAAAACAGTTAAGCAGAAAAAACAATAACAATAGCAATACGATAAGACAATATTAAAAACTGGGTCGGCCAGAGTGGGGTACAAGGTTAAAAAGTGCTGATGTGTCGGAGGAGTATGAGATTATGATATAAGTGTAGTGTGCGGTGATTTTGGTACTAAAGTGCTTCTAGGATTTGGTACTGGGAGATTCCTAATCTAAAAAGGCACATTGGAACAGCCAGGTTTTCAAATTCTTCCTGAAGACTGCCAGTGTAGGGGCTTGTCTGAGATCTTTTGGGAGGGTGTTCCAGAGGCGGGGGACCACCACGGAGAAGGCCCTGTCTCGCGTCCCCACCAAGCGCGCTTGTGACGCGGGCGGGATCACGAGCAGGGCCTCCCCAGATGACCGGAGTGAGCATGTGGGTTTGTAGACAGCGATGCGGTCACGCAGGTAGGGTGGTCCCAAACCGTTCAGGGCTTTGTAGGTAAGCACCTGCACCTTAAATTGGGCTCGGAAAATAAACGGCAGCCAGTGGAGCTCCTTGAAAAGGAGGGTTGACCTCTCTCTGTAAGGGGCCCCAGTTAGCATCCTGGCTGCTGCCCGTTGGACCAGTTGGAATTTCCGAGCCGTTTTCAAGGGCAGCCCCACGTAGAGCGCATTGCAGTAATCCAGTCTAGAGGTGACTAAGGCATGGACCACCCCGGCCAGATCAGCCTTCGCGAGGTACGGGCGCAGCTGGCGCACAGAGTCTTAGTTGTGCAAAAGCCCTCCCGGCCACTGCTGACGCCTGAGCCTCAAGCGTGAGCGAGGAATCCAGGAGGACCCCCAAACTGCGGACCTGTGGCTTCAGGGGGAGTGTAACCCCGTCCAGCACAGGTTGCCACCCTATACCCTGGTCAGGTTTGCGATCGACCAGGAGGACCTCTGTCTTGTCGGGATTGATCTTCAGCTTGTTCCTCCTCAGCCAGATAGACACAGCGGCCAGGCACTCGTCCAGCACCCGAGAGGCCTCCTTGGAATTAGGTGGAAAAGAGTAGTAGAGTTGTGTGTCATCTGCATAGAGATGGCACCCAACTCCAAAACTCCGGATGACCTCTCCCAGCGGTTTCATGTAGATGTTAAAAAGCATGGAGAAAGAATGGAACCTTGCGGGACCCCACAGGTCAAAGGCCAGGGATCCGAGCAGGCATCTCCCAGCTTCACCATCTGGGTTCGTCCCTCCAGGAAGGACCGGAGCCACGACAGAACCGTGCCCCCGAGACCCATCCCAGAGAGGCGACCCAGAAGGATACCATGATCGATGGTATCGAAAGCCGCTGAGATGTCCAAGAGAACCAGCAGGGTCACACTCCCCCTGTCCAGTCCTCTACGGAGGTCATCCACCAAGGCGACCAAGGCTGTCTCGGTGCCGTGACCAGGCCTGAAACCAGACAATAATGTTATTGTTGTTTCATCATCAATAATATTGTTTGTATTAATATTATTATATTGAGGTTATTCTTATCATCAATAATAATAATTATCATTATTCTATTCGATGTCCCCCTTTTCTCTTCCAAAATGGTACAGAACTGTTTGATGGAATAGTTAATTGCATCCTATCACTTGAACAAGGATCCCCCAGTGGCGCAGTGGGTTAAACCGCTGAACTTGCTGAACTTGCTGACCGAAAGGTTGACGGTTTGAACGTGGGGAGCGGGGTGAGCTCCTGCTGTTAGCCCCAGCTTCTGCCAACCGAGTAGTTCGAAAACACGCAAATGCGAATTTATTTATTTATGACATTTATATGCCGTCCTTCTCACCTTGAAGGGGACTCAGAGAGGCTTTCAATACATACATACATACATACATACATACATACATACATACGCACGCACGCATGCACGCACATACATATAATTATATTATTAGCATAGTACAATATCAGTATTAAATATTGCTATATTGTACTATACCATTATATTGTAATATTATTAGTAATATTACATGTAATGTAAATATATATAAATGTAATGTAAATATATATAAATATATCGAGTCCCTCGATAGAGGTGAGAAGACCAGTATACAAAACTCCTAAATAAATAAATAAATAAATGTATTATTATTAGTATTATAGTGCTAATATTATTATTATATAAATCAACAGGTACTGTTTCTATGAGAAGGTAAGGGCGCTCCATGCAGTCAAATAATCTTGGAGGTGTCTATGGACAACACCGGCTCTTCAGCTTAGATATGGAGATGAGCACCAGAGTCATTAGCTTCAGAGTTTCCTATATCTCTGTATCGCTTACTTTCTGGATGCTCTCTCCTACGTAAACATGTTCCCCGCAGGTAGAACACAAGGCAAGGGCTCCTCTCTCCTCTGTAAGCGTTCTGGATTCATGCCTTCTACCTTCGCCTCCTCTTTGCCTCCCTTTGGATCTCTACTGCTTCCTCTTGTAGCAAAAGGCCTTCGATGTGTGTTTTCATGGCTTTCCCTTTTCCCCAGGCAAACAGCCGAGAACCGCTTCTCTCTGGAGTGGCCCTTCCAGCCCTACTTGCTCTTTGATGTTCTGGACGGCAAGGAAGAACGCGACAGCGAGTGAGTCCCTCCTCCCCGTCCATCCGCCTTCCCTCTGGGTCTCACTTGGCCTTAAGCTCAAAACAACAACAACAACAACAAAAGGGGACTGGGGGGCTTTTGCTTGTGAAACCTGAAGCAGAGACTAGGCGGAGCACTTTGAATCTATCCTTTCCTCTGCTCATTCTCTTCTGTCTATCTGTTGGTCTGTCCTTCCTTCCTTCCTGTTCTTCCTTCTTTTCTTCCTGCCTTTCCTTCCTTTCCTTTCCTTCCTTCCTCTTTCTTTCTTTCCTTTTCCCTTTCCTTCTTTCTCCCTACTTTCCCCCTCCCTCCTTTCCTTTTTTTTTCCTTTTTTCCCTTACCTCCCTCCTTTACCTCCCTCCATCCCTTACCTCCCTCCCTTACCTTCCCCCCTTTCCATCCATCCATCCTTCCTTTTTCTTTTTCCTTTTCCTCCTTTTCTTTCTTCCTTCCTTTTTTCTTCCTTCTTTCCTTCCTTCCTTTTCCTTTCTTCTTTTTCCTTCCCTTTTTCCCTTTCCTTCCTTCCCCTTTTCCCTTCCTTCCCTTCCTTTTCCCTTCCCTCTTCCCTTCCTTCCCTTTTTCCTTCCTTCCCTCCCCCTTCCCTCCCTCCTTCTTTTTCCCCTCCCCTCCCTCCCTCCCTCCCCCCTCCCTCCCCCTTCCCCCTCCCTTCCCTTCCTTCTTCTTTCCTTCCTTCCCTTCCTTTCTTCCCTTCCCTTTCCCTTCCTTCCCTTTCCTTCCTTCCCTTTTCCCTTTCCTTCTTTCCCCCTCTTCCTTTCCCTCCTTCCTTCCCTTCCTTTCCCTTTTCTTTCCTTTCCCTCCCTCCCTCCCTTCCATCCCCCCTTCTTTTTCCCCCTGTTTTTTCCCTCAGGCCTTCTAATCCTACCATCCATCCTCTTTCCTTTTCCCCCTCCCTCCTTTTCCTTCCTTTCTTCCTTTCCTTCCTTCCTTCCTTCCCTTTCCCCCCCTTCCTTCCCTTCCTCCTTCTTTCCTTTTCCTTCCCTTTTCCTTTCCTTTCCTTTCCTTTCTTTCCCTTTCCTTCCTTCCTTCCTTCCTTTCCCTTCCTTCCCTTCCTTCCTTCCCTTTCCCCTTCCCTCTTTCTTTCTTTCCTTCTCCCTTCCTTCCTCCTTTTCTTTTCTTTCCTTCCTTCCTTTCCCCTTCCCTTTTCCTCCCCTTCCTTTCTCCTTCCTTCCTTCTTATCTGTCTTTTCTTCCTTCTTGTCCTTCCTTCCTTTTTTCCTTTCCTTTCCCTTCCTTCCTTCCATCCATCCATCCATCCATCCATCCATCTATCTTTTTCTTTCTTTTTCTCTCTCTCCTTTTGTGCAGCTCCTACGCAAATCCCCATGAGGTCAGGCTAGTGCTGGAACTGGTGAAGCTGATCAAGGAGAAGCGCTGGGACCTGGGCTTCCGCCAGGTGGGCATCATCACCCCCTACAACGCCCAGAAGCGCAGGATCCGGAGGCAGCTGGACGCCGAGTTCGGAGAAAATGGGTACGTTGAAGACCTTCCTTCTTCCTCAGCTTAAGAGAGGATCTTGGGAGGATCAGAATTCAGAGGCTTAGGATATCTGTGGCCAAAGTGAAATCAATGAAATAATAATAATAATAATAATAATAATAATAATAATAATAATAATAATGTAATCCTGGAGTCCCCCAAAGGCCATCCAGTCCAACCTTAAAGGAAACTACTGTCCAAACCCTCTCGACAGATGGTCACCCAGCCTCTGAACACTAATAATAATTAGGACTAATAATAATAATAATAATAATAATAATAATAATAATAATAATAATTCTATTATTAATAATAATATAACCCTAGAGGTGGAAGAAACCCCCAGAGACCATCCAGTCCAACCTTACAGGAAACTACTGTCCAATCCCTCTCAACAGATGGTCACCCAGCCTCTGAACACTAATAACAATTAGGAGTACTACTACTACTAATAATATAGTACAATATAATACTAGGAATAATAATAATACAATATTATAATTATATATTTACATTACATGTAATATTAATAATAATATCACCTGTTCGTCTATGTTCAGCACTATTTCCAATTTTAATTTTACATTTGGCGTTCCCATAGTTTTAATTGTACGTTGTCTTATTGATAATGTTATATGTTTATGTTTTATTTTAATTGCTTGCATTGTTGTGGTTATTGCTTGTATTGTTGTGTTCGGGCTTGGCCTCATGTGAGCAACACCGAGTCCCTTGGGGAGATGGTAGCGGGGTACAAATAAAGTGTTATTATTATTATTATTGTTATTATTATCATTATTATTATTATATAATGGTATAGTGCAATATAGTAATACATAATACTGATATTGTACTATGCTAATAATATAATATATTGTATGAAAATATATCTTGTAAGCCGCTCTGAGTCCCCTTTGGGGTGAGAAGGGCGGCATATAAATGCCGTCAATAAATAAATATTAATACAAATAATAATTCTATTATAAATAATAATATAACACTAGAGTTGGAAGGGACCCCCAGAGACCATCCAGTCCAACCCTAAAGGAAGCTACTGTCCAGTCCTTCTCAACATATGGTCACCAGCCTCTGAACACTAATAATAATTAGGAGTGCTACTACGAATAATAATATGAATAATAATTTTATTATTATTAATAATATAACCCTAGAGTTGGAAGGGACCCCCAGAGGCCATCCAGTCCAAACCCATTCTGCCATCAAGGAAGGCACAATCAAATCCTTCCCAACAGATGGCCATCCAGCCTTACACTATGCTCCTGGTTTGGAAGCATTATTCCTGTTTGATTGTGCAGTCCTTACTTTGAAAGGAGCTATTCCATTCCAAAAGCTTCGTTTTTATGGCCCCTTGGATACTGAAACCTGGCTAGTATTGCCGTGCAGCCTCCATCTTCTTCTTCTTTCTGCCCTTTCAGTGCCAGCGAAGTGGACACCGTGGATGGCTTCCAGGGCCGCGAGAAGGACTGCATCATCGTGACCTGCGTCCGGGCCAACAGCACCCAGGGCTCCATCGGGTAGGGCTCCCCTCCCACACGTTTCGGGGCCCAAACGGATGACCTTTGGGGCACCCCCTTGGCTTCGGAAAAAGCGGGAGGAGGGGAAGTAAGGTTTAGGTTGTGCCAACCTTTTGAAAGTCTCCTTTGAGAGGGAGGAAGTCTTTGCTCCTTTTTGAAATATTCCTGAGGGCGTTCTGAATCACACAACAATCTACCAAGGAGGGGTGGAATGAGGCTGGCTTCCTCTTTCCTTCCTATTTGGGTCGAGGAAGTGAATTGGATGTCCGGGGGGGGGGGGGGGGACCGTGGGGAAACCGGCCTTCCTTCTTTCCTTCTTGTCCTTTCTCTTTCCTTACTCTCCTTCTCTCTTTCCTTCCTTTCTCTTCCCTTTTCTTTCCTTCCCTCCTCCCTCCTCCCTCCTCCTCCCCTCCCCTCCCCTCCCTCCCTCCCTCCCTCCTTCCTTCCTTCCTTCCTTCTTCCTTCCTTCCTTCCTTCCTCTTTCTTCTTCTTCCTTCCTTCCTCCTTCCTTCTTCCTTCCTTTCTTCCTTACTTCTTTCCTTCATCTCTTCCTGCCTGTTCTTTCTTCCTTTGTCTACCTTTCCTTTCTGTCTCCTTTGTTCCTTCCTTCTCTTCCTTCCTTCCTGTCTGTCCGTCCTCCTTTCCTGTCCTTTGATCCTTCCTCTCTTCCTTCCTTTCCATCCTTCCTTTCTTCCTGTCTTTCTTCCTTCTTTCCTTCATCTCTTCCTTTCACTCCTTCCTTCCTTACTTTTCTTTCCTTTTTCTCCTTCTCCCTTTTCCTTCCTTTTCCTTCCTTCCTTTCCTTCCTTCCTTCCTTCCTTTCCTTCTTTCCTTCTTCCCATCCTTTCTTTTTTCCTTTCTGTCTCCTTCCTTCCTGTTTCTTTCCTTCCGTCCTTCCTGTCTGTCCTTCCTCCCTTCCTTTCTTCCTTCCTTCTTTCTTTCCAGCCTTCCTTCCTTCTTTCCTTTCTTCTCCTTTATTCCTTTTCTTTCCTTTCCTTCCTTCCTTCCTCTTCCTTTCTTCTTTCCTTCCTTTCTTTCTTTCTTTTTCTTTCTTTTTTCCTTTTCCTTGCTTTCCTCTTTTCCTTTCTTTCCTTGTTTTTTCTTTCCTTTCTTTTTTCTCTTCTTTCCTTTCTCTTTTTTTTTTTTTTTTTTCTTTTCTTTCTTTCTCTTTTCCTCTCTTTTCTTTCTTTTTCTTTCTTTCTTTCTTTCTTTCTTCCCCCCTCTTCCTTTCTTTTTCCTTTCTCTCCTCCTTCCTTCCCTCCCTCTTTCCTTCCTTCCTTCCTTCTTCCTTCCTTCCTTCCTTCCTCCTTTCCTTCCTTCCCTCCCTCATTCCTTCCTTCCTTTCTCTCCTTCCTTCTTTCTTCCTCCTTCCTTCCTTTCTTTCCTTTCTTCCTCCCTTCTTTCTTCCATCCTTCTTTCCTTTTCCTTCTTCCTTTCTATTTCTTTCCTTCTGTCCTTCCTGTCTGTCTTTCTGTCCTTTCTTTCTTTCTTTCTTTCTTTCTTTCTTCTTTCCTTCTTTTTTTTTCTTTCTTTTCCTTTCTTTCTTCTTTCTTCCCCTCCTCCTTCTTTCCTTTCTCCTCCTTCCTTCCTGTTTCTTTCCTTCTGCCCTCCCTCCCTCCCTCCCTCCCTCCCTCCCTCCCTTCCTTCCTTCCTGCCTTCCCATTCTTCCTTACTTCTTTCCTTTCTGCCTCCTTCCTTCCTGTTTCTTTCCTTTTGTCCTGTCTATCTGTCTGTCTCTCCGTCCCTCCCTTCCTTCCTTCCTTCCTTCCTTCCTTCCTTCCCTTCCTTCTGTCCTTCATTCCTTTTGAACTATTCACGAGTGTGTTCCAAATCACACAATAATCTGCAGGGAAGGGCCGCAAGGTCTCCTCCGGAGGCAGAGTGAGGCCGGCTTCCTGGTTGGGTCGAGAAGTGAATTGGGGGCCAGAGGAAGGGAAGGGGGCCCGCCTTTCTCCCCAAACGTCAAACGCCCTCCTTCCCTTCCCGTCCAGGTTCCTGCGGAGCCTCCAGCGCCTGAACGTCACCATCACCCGGGCCAAGTACAGCCTCTTCATCCTCGGAAAGCTGAAGACCCTCATGGTAGGTGCGAGGGGAGGCTGCCACAAGCCCACCAGTGACCATTGGGTGGCCCACAGGGCTCGTTAATGGAGGAGACCCTTAGGGCTCAGTGGAGGCCCACAACTCCCCATAAAGGTCCTGAGGCCCATCAGGAAGGAGGCGTCTGCCAACTTGCCTCGTCCTGCCTTGTTCTGATCAAGCCTTGTCCTGAGCCGCTTTTCGGACACTAGAGGGCATCCTGGGCCAAGGCACTTCCACCATGGAACACCATTTGAAAGTGCTATTTCCTGTTATAAAACTTTTCCGTTAGACTCAATTAGGAAATGACATTGATAACCCAGGAACAATAATTGTGTTACATAGTGTTGTTAATGAAGGAAGGAAATACAAAAGGGAAGGAAGAAAGGATGAAAGGGTAGAAGGGAAGGATGAAAGGGTAGAAGGATAAAGGAAAGAGAGAAGGAAGTAAAGACAAAAGGGAAGGAATGAGAAAGGGAGAGAGTGAAGGAGGGGAGAAAGAGAGAAGGAAGGAAAGACAAAAGGGAAGGAAGAAAGGATGAAAGGGTAGAAGGGAAAGATGGAAGGAAGGGAAGGATAAAGGAAAGAGCGATGCAAGGAAAGACAAAAGGGAAGGAATGAGAAAGGGAGAGAGTGAAGGAGGGGAGAAAGAGAAGGAAGGAAAGACAAAAGGGAAGGAAGAAAGGATGAAAGGGTAGAAGGGAAGGTTGGAAGGAAGGGAAGGATAAAGGAAGGAGTGATGGAAGGAAAGACAAAAGGGAAGGAATGAGAAAGGGAGAGAGTGGAGGAGGGGAGAAATAGGGAAGGAAAGACAAAAGGGAAGGAAGAAAGGATGAAAGGGTAGAAGGGAAGGATGGAAGGAAGGGAAGGATAAAGGAAAGAGCGATGCAAGGAAAGACAAAAGGGAGAGAGTGAAGGAGGGGAGAAATAGGGAAGGAAGGAAAGACAAAAGGGAAGGAAGAAAGGATGAAAGAGTAGAAGGGAAGGTTGGAAGGAAGGGAAGGATAAAGGAAAGAGCGATGGAAGGAAAGACAGAAAGGAAGGAATGAGAAAGGGAGAGAGTGAAGGAGGGGAGAAAGAGAGAAGGAAGGAAAGACAAAAGGGAAGGAAGAAAGGATGAAAGGGTAGAAGGGAAAGATGGAAGGAAGGGAAGGATAAAGGAAAGAGTGATGCAAGGAAAGACAAAAGGGAAGGAATGAGAAAGGGAGAGAGGAAGGGGGGAGAAGAGGGAAGGAAAGACAAAAGGGAAGGAAGAAAGGATGAAAGGGTAGAAGGGAAGGATGGAAGGAAGGGAAGGATAAAGGAAAGAGCGATGCAAGGAAAGACAAAAGGGAAGGAATGAGAAAGGGAGAGAGTGAAGGAGGGGAGAAATAGGGAAGGAAAGACAAAAGGGAAGGAAGAAAGGATGAAAGGGTAGAAGGGAAGGATGGAAGGAAGGGAAGGATAAAGGAAAGCGATGGAAGGAAAGACAAAGGAAAGGAATGAGAAAGCGAAGGAAGGAGGGAGGAAAGAGGGAGGAAAGAAAGACAAAAGGGAAGGAATAAAGGGTAGAAGGGAAGGATGGAAGGAAGGGAAGGAGGAAGGCAGGAAAAAAGGAAGGAAGGGAGGGAGGAAGGGAAGGAAGGAGGGAGGAAAGAAGGAAGGAAAGACAAAAGGGAAGGATGAAAGGGGAGAAGGGAAGGATGGAAGGAAGGGAAGTATAAAGGAAAGAGAGAAGGAAGGAAAGACAAAAAGGAAGGAATGAGGGAGAGAGGGAAGGAGGGGAGAAATAGGGAAGGAAGGAAAGACAAAAGGGAAGGAAGAAAGGATGAAAGAGTAGAAGGAAAGGTTGGAAGGAAGAGAAGGATAAAGGAAGGAGCGATGGAAGGAGAGACAAAGGAAAGGAATGAGAAAGCGAAGGAAAGAGGGAAGGAAAGAAAGACAAAAGGGAAGGAATAAAGGGTAGAAGGGAAGGATGGAAGGAAGGGAAGGAGGAAGGCAGGAAAAAAGGAAGGGAGGAAGGGAAGGAGAAGGAAGGAAGGAAGAAGAAGGAAGGAAAAGGGAAGGAAGGGAGGAAGAAGGAGGAGGAAGGAAGGAAGGAAAAAGAAAGAGAAGGAAGGAAGAAGGGAAAGGAGAAAGAGAGGGAAGGAGGAGGGAAAGAGGAAGGAAGGAAAGACAAAAGGGAAGGATGAAAGGGAGGAAGGAAGTGGAAGGAAGGGAAGGATAAAGGAAAGAGAGTGAAGGAAAGACAAAAGGGAAGGAATGAGAAAGAGGGAAGGAGGGGAAAGGAAGGAAGGAAAGACAAAAGGGAAGGAAGAAAAGGAGAAGGAAGGAGGAAGGAGAAAAAGGAAGGAGAAAGGGAGGAATGGAAGGAAGGAGGGAGGAAGAAGGAAGGAAAGAAGGAAAGACAAAAGGGAAGGAAGGGTGGAAGAAGGATGGAGGGAAGGAAGGGAAGGATAAAGGAAAGAGAGAGGAAGGAAAGACAAAGGAAAGGAGAGAGAGAGGAAGGAGGGAGAAAGAGGAAAGAGGGAGAAAAGAGGGAAGGAAGGGATGAAGATGGAAGGAAGGAAGGTAAGGATAAAGGAAAGAGATGGAAGGAAAGATAAAGGAAAGGAATGAGAGAGAGGGAAGGAGGGGAGAAAGAGGGAAGGAAGGAAAGACAAAAGGGAAGGATGAAAGGGCGGAAGAAGAGGAAGGGAGAAAGGGAAGCATAAAGGAACGAGAGAAGGAAGAAAAGGCAAAAGGGAACGAAGGAGAAAGAGGGGGAGAGGGAAAGAAGGAAAGAGGAAAAGGTGGAAGGGACTGGATGGAGGGAGAAAGAAGGATGGGAGAGAAGAAAGAGAAGGAATGAAAGAAAAGAGAAAGAGAGAAGGAAGGAAGGATAGGATGGGGAGAGAGAGAGGGGTCTGAGAAATGAGTCCAAGGGGCTGCATCCATACCTGCTCTAATTGCATTGGTCCCCTTTTTTTAGGAGAACAAGGACTGGAATGAGTTGATCCAAGATGCCCAGAAGCGGGGCAACATTGTGCAGACATCCATTGGCAGCTACAAAAGCAGTGCCTTGAAGATCCTGAAGTCCCGCCCGCTGCTTCCGACGATGACGGGTCCCAAGAGGGTGACACCAAAGGCGGTGGCGGAACTGAAGGCCCCCCCACAAGGGGAGCCTGCCGTTGCAGAACGGCATCCCCCTGCACCCGCGGAGCTATCCTCTAAGAAGCCGCCGCATCCTCTTCCTCTCCCAGAAGCGAGGCGGCCCAAGGACCCACGTCTGGCTAGGAGGGGTGAGTCGGCGGGGGACAGCAGAGCAGGCCATTATCCCTCGGGGTCTTTGGCGGGTGTAGAGCCTCCTCAGGGCCCCACTCCCACTCCACCCTGTGGCGCAAATCCCTCCTTTTCGAACACTGAAGCGCTCGCCAGGGCTGTCTTGGCCAAGCTGCACGACCGGAGGCCTTCGGACCGAGGAGAGCACCCTCCTCCAGTCCCCAAAGGTCCCCCCCAGGCCAAGGACATCTCTTCCAACAGCCGCAGGGCCTCTGTGGAGCCACTAGACGGCCCCGTCGACACCAAGCGGAGGCGTACCACCTGCTAAGCCCTGAAAGTGCCTCGCTTCTTCTTTCTTCTCCTCTGTCTTCCCAGCCGTTGCTGCCTTTCGGGACTTGTTTTATACTGCCGGGCGAAGCCTCACCTTGTCTGCAGTTCTGTATATTTGTACAGCAGAAGTTTTATTTTTTAAAGAGCGGACACAGAGGTGGCCCCACCGGACCGCTTCCTCTACTTTGTACCTCACTTTGCCATTGCCTTCTTTGCTGCCTTTTGGGGGTTGCCCTCGCTAGCCCTCAGTTTCCCAGCTGCCTATTGGGTCCATAGCCATTGCCTTGAGGCTTACCTGGGCTTTGTGGTTCCCCCCCGCGGCAGCCATTTTCACCTCTTTCTCCGGCTCGTCGGAGGTGTTACTTGTTTATTCGCCCGTTTGTTGGCGCCTCCTTTGATTCGGGAGGAATATATATATATATATATATATATGCACACAAATAGGTCAGTATTTCAATAAAATACAAAAAACCAAGGATACCCCGAGTTGGTCTGATCTCTGTTCTCCAAACATCCCACACAAATATATACTCGCTGCTTTTTCAGTCCCTTCTGCTGTGTTTTTCAGTGTTTTTATGAGTGATGGTCCCTCATTGGCCTGATAGCTGTCTTGTGTCCAAATCTGGTGTCAATTTGTCCAGTGGTTTTTGAGTTATGTTAATCCCACAAACAAACATTATATACATGTATGTACGTATGTTAGGCATGTGCGGTCCATTTAAAAAATGGTTTAAACCAGAGTTTCTCAATCTGGGGATCGGGACCCCTGCAGGGAGTCACGAGGGGGGTTCAGCGGGGTTGCCAAACCCATCAGAAAACACATATTTGGATGGTCTTAGAAACCCCTTTGGCAGAGGAGGCTGAAGGTCTCTGCTGCTGCCCTACTCTTCCTTTTTGGAAACAGACAGCGAATCCTCCCACTAAAAGCCCTCCTCCGCTATGATTGGTCAGCCTCTCAGCCAAGGGGTGGGCTGTTTCTGAGACTCCTGGCGGGGAGGGGAGTGCAGGCATGCTTAACACATGGCAGCGTGGTGTACATGTGCGGGCGAGGGAGAGCGTGCGGGGCTGGAGGGGAGTTCATATCAGCAAGTCCCTTCAAGGCAGGGGATTCTGTGTGGGACGTTTGGCCCAATTCTATCATTGGTGGGGTTCAGAGTGCTCTTTGATTGTAAGTGAACTATAAATCCCAGTAACTACAACCCCCACATGTCAAGGTCTGTTTTCCCCAAACTCCACCAGTCTTCTCATTTGGGCACATTAAGTATCTGTGCCAAGTTTGGTCCAGATCCATCATTGTTTGAGTCCACAGTGCTCTCTGGATGTAGGTGAACTACAAATCCAAAACTCAAGTTCAATGCCCACCAAACCCTTCCAGTATTTTCTGTTGGACGTGGGAGTTCTGTGTGCCAAGTTGGGTTCAATTCCATCATTGGTGGAGTTCAGAATGCTCTTTGATTATAGGTGAACTATACATCCCAGGAACTAAAACTCCCAAATGACAAAATCTGTCCCCCTGAAACCCCACCCAATTGGGCATATTGGGTATTTGTGCCAAATTTGGTCCAGTGAATGAAAATACATCCTGCAGATCAGAGATTTGCATGACGATTCATAACAGGAGCAAAATTACAATTATGAAGTAGCAACAAAAATAATGTCACCAAAACATGAGGAACTGTCTAAAGGGTGGCAACATTAGGAAGGCTGAGAATTACTATTCTTAACTGTGTTGAAAAGTAGGGGGCGCTGGCGCTGCGTTTCTAAAGTTCTTTCCAAATTTTGGGGGTAAAAGTTTCGGGACTCTAGCGAAACGTATGAAGTAAGTACTTTGTGAAAGGCAGTCGCGATTGCACCATAAGGAAAACATCACTGGCAGTGGGGGAACTTCAGGGGCTCCTCTCTCCCTCATTTTTTGAGGTATCTTGATGAAACTTGCTACAGTGATAGAACACATTGACCACTGTTTGTCCACCAAATTTCAGAATGTTTGACTTCTCCATGGAGTTTTGGCAAATTTTCATAATTTCATTTGTTTTTCCAAAAAACACAAGAGCAATCTCCTTGAATTTTATAACCAGAGGCGGCCCTAGGTAATTTTCAATGGTAAGCAAACAGCATTTTGGCCCCCCCCCCCCCCCCCCCAACCAATCATTGATATATATTTTCTGTTCATCATGGGTGAACTATAATTCCCAAACTCAAGGTCAATGTCCACCAAACCCTTCCAGTTTTTCTGTTGGTCATGGGAGCCCTGTGTGCTAAGTCTGGCCCAATTCCATCATTGGTGGAGTTCAGAATGCTCTTTGATTGTAGAATCATAGAATCATAGAATCAAAGAGTTGGAAGAGACCTCCTGGGCCATCCAGTCCAACCCCATTCTGCCAAGAAGCAGGAATATTGTATTTAAATCACCCCTGACAGATGGCCATCCAGCCTCTGTTTAAAAGTTTCCAAAGGAGGAGCCTCCACCACACTCCGGGGCAGAGAGTTCCACTGCTGAACGGCTCTCACAGTCAGGAAGTTCTTCCTCATGTTCAGATGGAATCTCTTGTAGTTTGAAGCCATTGTTCCGAGTCCTAGTCTCCAGGGAAGCAGAAAACAAGCTTGTGACTCCTCCTCCTGTGGCTTCCTCTCACATATTTATACATGGCTATCATATCTCTCTCAGCCTTCTCTTCTTCAGGCTAAACATGCCCAGCTCCTTAAGCCGCTCCTCATAGGGCTTGTTCTCCAGACCTTTTATCATTTTAGTCGCTCTCCTCTGGACACATTCCAGCTTGTCAATATCTCTCTTGAATTGTGGTGCCCAGAACTGGACACAATATTCCAGATGTGGTCTAACCAAAAGAATAGAGGGGTAGCATGACTTCCCTAGATCTAGACACTATGCTCCTATTGATGCAGGCCAAAATCCCATTGGCTTTTTTTGCCGCCACATCACATTGTTGGCTCATGTTTAACTTGTTGTCCACGAGGACTCCAAGATCTTTTTCACACGTACTGCTCTCGAGCCAGGTATTGTCCCCCATTCTGTATCTTTGCATTTCGTTTTTCCTGCCAAAGTGGAGTATCTTGCATTTGTCACTGTTGAACTTCATTTTGTTAGTTTTGGCCCATCTCTCTAATCTGTCAAGATCGTTTTGAATCCTGCTCCTGTCCTCTGGAGTATTGGCTCAGGCTCTCCCTCCCAATTTGGTGTCGTCTGCAAACTTGATGATCCTGCCTTCTAACCCTTCATCTAAGTCATTAATAAAGTAGCATACATCTGAAGTCATTAATATAATAGGTGAACTATACATCCCAGTCACGACAACTCACATATGTCAAGGTCTATTTTCCCCCAAGAGCGCCTCAAGAGCGCCCCTGGGCAAAATCAACTATACTGCAAATGCTTACTTTGCGTAATGGTTGAGCCGCCCCTGTTTATAAGCAATGACACAAGATAACGGGATCATTCCCCCCAACTTTCAGAGATACCCTCACTTATCGTAGATGTTACGTTCCAGGACCATCCGCGATAAGTGAAATTCTGCTCCTCTTCTTCCCTTTGGGGGCGGCTCTTCTTCCCTCCTCACCCTCTTTACATTCCTCCTCCTCGGCGCCTTCCCCCCTCAATTGTGTCACGGATGCTGCTGCTCCGGAAGCGGCGTAAGAGGCACCTCATCGACACCTGGGCCTCTTGCCGCCATTTGGGTCTCACAACTTCAGGTATTCTTGGGAGACATGGATTATCTGGACTCGGCACAGTCTGGTTTCAGACCGGGACATGGTACCGAGACAGACTTGGTCGCCTTACTGGATGATCTGCACCGGGAGCTCGACAGGGGGAGTGTGTCCCTGTTGGTGCTTCTGGACCTCTCAGCAGCCTTCGATACCGTCGACCACGGTATCCTTCTGGGACGCCTCGCAGGGATGGGTCTTGGAGGGACTGTTTTGCAGTGGCTCCGGTCATTCCTGGAGGGCCGATCTCAGAAGGTGTTGTTGGGGGACACCTGTTCAACCCCACAACCTTTGTCTTGTGGGGTTCCTCAGGGCTCAATACTGTCTCCCATGTTGTTTAACATCTACATGAAGCCGCTGGGTGAGATCATCCGGAGTTTCGGAGTGCGATGTCATCTGTACGCAGATGATGTCCAACTCTGTCACTCCTTTCCACCTGCTACTAAGGAGGCTGTCGAGGTCCTGAACCGGTGCCTGGCCGCTGTGACGGTCTGGATGAGGGCGAACAAATTGAAATTGAATCCAGACAAGACAGAGGTACTCCTGGTCAGTCGCAAGGCCGAACAGGGCACAGGGTTACAGCCTGTGTTGGTTGGGGTCGCACTCCCTCTGAAGACACAGGTTCGCAGCTTGGGTGTGATCCTGGATTCATCGCTGAGCCTGGAGCCCCAGGTTTCAGTGGTGACCAGGGGAGCATTTGTACAGTTAAAACTTGTGCGCCAGCTGCGCCCGTACCTTGGGAAGTCTGACTTGGCTACGGTAGTCCACGCTCTTGTCACATCCCGCCTAGACTACTGCAACGCTCTCTACGTGGGGCTGCCCCTGAAGACGGCCCGGAAGCTGCAATTAGTCCAACGCGCGGCAGCCATGATTCTAACAGGAGCGGAGCGCAGGGAGCACACAACCCCCTGTTGCGCCAGCTCCACTGGCTGCCGATTTGCTACCGGGCCCAATTCAAGGTGTTGGTATTGGCCTATAAAGCCCTAAACAGTTCCGGCCCAAGATACCTATCTGACCGCATCTCGGCCTATGAACCCACCAGGACTTTGAGATCTTCCGGGGAGGCCCTGCTCTCAATCCCGCCGGCCTCTCAAGCACGGTTGGCGGGGACGAGAGATAGGGCCTTCTCGGTGGTGGCTCCTCGGCTGTGGAACGCCCTTCCTACAGACATTAGGCTGGCACCATCTCTCATGGCATTCCGAAGAAAGTTGAAGACCTGGATGTTTGTGCAGGCGTTTGAGTAATTTAGTGCAATCTGGTAACTGAACATAGGAATGGAACAATGGACGACGAACTTGGATCATGCGTGGATGATGAGGCGATTGGGTATGGGTTTTTTGTAATAGCTGTGTATTGGGATTGCTTATTAGTTATTAATGGAAAATGTGTAAATTAATTGTCATTGTTGTATGGAACTATTGCTGTTTTTATTGTCTATACTGTTTGTGAACCGCTGTGAGTCGCCCTCGGGCTTGAGATACAGCGGTATATAAGCATAGTAAATAAATAAATAAATAAATAAATAAATAAATAAATAAATGATGCCTCTTCTGCTGGGACTATCCACTTCTAGAACGATTGAGGATGCGGCGGAGGCGTCGCGGGGCCGAAGTGGTGGGAAGAGGCGCTGGCGGCAACAAGGTGCATCCTCCACCGCTTCTGGAGCAGCAGCCGCAACGCCCAGGCTCAACCTGTTGGAGGGAAGGGAGACACCGAGGAGGAGGAGGAGGAGGAAGGTAAAGAGGGTGAGGAGGGAAG